TGCTTGTAATATTGTGTTATCAGAAGTGAATTATGTATTCCATGGCAAGATTCCTTTCTTAAGTGTAAAGGTAGGGAATCCTTTTTTTTTCCCTCTTTATTTAGGTAATTCTTGCTCACGGTATTTAGTATTCATTAGCATATTTTCCCTGGTATTAATGGTCTTAGTTTCCGATGTTTATGTTGCCAGTTTTAGATTAGATATATTAGCTTTCGATATCTTTCAGTTTATACTGATATTTCTCGGCTCGGCTTCGTTGTGCGCAGTCGATTTAGCGTTAAGGATCCAGTCGTTAGTTATCTCAAAATTTAATGTGCATTTACATTCTTATTTTCCAGAGCCAGAGTTAGACTTGATAAGGCCCTAAGCTATTTGAGATATAGGGACCCTTATAAGTCTGTTATAATATATTTTAATACTATTTATACTATATTTTAATTTTTTGGGGGAAGGGCAAGAAAGTAGGGGTCCTAAGCTATAGCTTGAGTAGCTTATACGTATATCCAGCCCTGTTATTTTCTGTTAATTTACATTAGCCACAAGTGGTGCTGATTTGTGAGCACGAAGTGCGTGCATCTGTTTTAATTTACTTTTAATATAAAGGTTATTTAAAACCTTTCTTCTGCAGCAATTATTCTTAAAGACATAGCGAGAATTCGCTACTTCGTCTTCGACGTACAGTCAAAGTTGTATGCTACCAAAGAATACCCGTAGACTGTATAGTATAAATATGTTTTTATGTGCTTTTTTCATCAATATTCAAAAAAATTTATCTAATAATTAGTGCTAGTTATGTTGAATAATATTGTATTAATGAATACATAACTTTATAACTGTTAACATATTCATTTTCCCCAAACTATATTTTAAAGACGTTTTCTTTTATCTATTTATCTACCGCTTTCAGCATTTTAGTTTGACACAACTGTCTATCTTTATTCAAAACATATTTATTAACAATGCTATATACTTTCAATAGCATTCAAATTCCTTAGAATACCATTGTAAATAAAAATAGAAAATTATACATTTTGTTAAGCAGTTTGAAGTCATTTGAATTTAGATTACATAGATCAGTGACTTGTTAACGTTGGTGACTCTGGAGGTGCATAAAACTTCTCAGTCATCTCACAGAACTAATAAAACTCTAATCTTTTATTTTACTAAAACCTTTTATTGCGTGTAACACCTCCAGTATACCGTATATTAGATTAAACCCACCTACCATCTTTTGAAAGGTAAATGTTAAAAAAAATCTTTGGAACTACATTATTCCATTATAATTTTTACTCATAAAAACCGATCTGCTTCTTAATAATTTAGGTAACACACCAAATACAGTTAAGACAATAAAAAAAATTTAAAATTAAAATTAAAGTGTCTATGCAAAAACAAACAATTCGGCCAGCAAGCAACAAGGCAGACTCATTTACAAATTAATGACACTCAATTTCCCAGATTATTTTATTCGCTTAATTGTCTTTTTTCAGCAACAGAACATACAAAATAAAAATTAGACCTGCTTATTCTACCATCAGAGTAATGAAAGCTGGTGTCCCACAGGGGTCGGCACTTTCCCTGTATCTTTTTAATATCTATACGCATGACATCCCTAAAGACCTTCTTCTGTTCATCCTTTGTTCTTCTGTTTTTTGCCGATGACACCGCCATACTTAGTAAAGCCTGCACAGCAATTGCCGTAAGAAACCAACTTCAAAACTATCTCATAGAACTAGAAAAATGGCTCACCCTTTGGATGATTAAAATTAACACTGATAAAACCAAGGCAATAATTTTCCGTAAGGGAAGCATGAACGATAACCCTCCACCCTCTGAATATTTTACGAAGAAATAGACTGAATTAATGAAACCAAATATAATTGGAGTCACCCTAGATCAAAACTTACCTTCAGAACCCCCTTCCGCTCAGTAGCACAAAAATTTAAAATCACCTATATCACTATGCGACCTCTTCTTGGAAGAAGAAGCAAATTACTACAACAAACAAATTAATTTTATATCGCTCCATACAACGTCCAGCCCTCCTTTATGCAGCTCCGATCTGTGGACATGCAGCTAAAACCAATATAAAACAATTACAAGTACTACAAAATAAAATCTTACGAGAAATTATCAATGCTACTTGGTATATTCCAAACACTTACATTCACAGAGACCTTCAAATAGAACCTATACAAGACTATATGAAACGCTTAGCGGTCAACTCCTTTCACTCAGTACAATCCCACAGTAATAGCCTTATTAGCGCTCTCAGATAATCCCCGCACCTCAGGGAAAAACATTGTTATCCCTGTGATATCCTATATCCTACCCACATAACAAATAAAACCAAAATTGACTCATTCACACTTAATTGACTTTGCGGTTTCACCCGCTGCTTCATCTTGTAACGTCACTGACCTCACCCCCCCTCATTCGCGGCGCTAGCGTGAACCAGATTCTCTACTCACCCCCTCTCACACCTCCTACTACACTGTTCTTCTTTCTTTTCCCCTAGATTGCTTATCAGAAGCGGAGTAAAAAGATGTTTCTACATCTTGACACTCGAGTATAAAATTCGACCTTCATCATTCATCTTCAACAAGGCACATTTTTCGGTGCACAAAAATGAAAGTTTAATTTTGGTCTCGCTCGGCAAAAAGACGTTGAAGATGCACAAACTGAATTCACTGTTCTGCTAAATTTTAAATGTAAACAAATATGGTAGCTACGCTTCTAATAAACTCCTCTTATATAAATTTATACTTCGACCAGCATTACTCTGTGCTAGTCCTGTTTGGGGCCACGCGGCCAAAACTCACCTTCAACACATCCAAGTTCTTCAAAACAAAGCACTCAGAAAGATTATCAACGTGCCATGTTTCATTCCAAATTCGTGTATCTACCGTGATCCCCCCGGGGGTTGACTCAGGCGAACGCCTGGGAAGTACTGGTTAGGATCTGTACCTAGGCAGTCTCAACCACGGGGGTAAATAATTTGACTTCACAGGACTAGAGCCCGAGTATTGTACTCAGGTTGGTTCAGACTTGGCAGGGACCGTACTGGTACTGTCGTGTCTGTTCCTCTGGCTGTAGTGCAGCTATATGGTTAGATAGTTTTGTGGCCTTCTCGATGGGGGTTCAGCCTTCAGAGTCCAAGTGACAGGGACTGACAGAGTAAGGCAGGGCATCGAAATGAATTTATCCGTTGCCGAGGAAGTGGTATCAGTATCAGGGAGTGGTGTCCCAAGGCAAAGGTGACACAGCGTTTTTATCTTTTTGCATCAGCGACATTTTATTTTCTCGTCCTGCTGAGGCTATGTATAAAGCCAGGCAGGGACTGTGGGGCCTGCGCCGCCACTTAGGGGTCCTACGTGACCCGGACAGCGACCTCGTAAGGAATCCCAGGTCGAGGGTCCTGGTTATGGAGCACTTGTATCTACCGTGATCTCAAACTAGAAACAATTCAAAATTATATTCAAACACTTGCCAGAAATTTTTTCTATTCAGTTCTCACTCATCCTAACAACTGCATCAACTCTCTTAAATGTTCTCCATTTCCCAGAGAAAAACACAAATATCGATCTGACATTTTCCATCCTTAACATTTTTTACTCATACTAGATTCTTCAGTACACTGATTTGGACCTTCGACCAGAAACTCATCTTATTCGTCGACTGATGGCGGGAACTTGACTTTTACTTTCGTCTTTTTGTTTTACCGATGCTCTTCACCTGATAGAGTAAAAGGAGGTGCTACTTTCTGAAACTAAAATTCACTATGCGCTCTTAGTATGATAAAAAATTAGGCTTACCCGCTTTAAACAACTTTTAAATTGTTGATAATTCTACAACTATAGCATGCAGATTAACTAAAAGCATAAAAACCTTAACCGGAAGATAAGAACAACATAATTCAACCATTGTTAAGGCAAAAAATGCGCAATTTACCAACACATAAGAATAAAAAAAATTTGCTCACTGTGCCGAGTAACAGTGTTTGTATATAACCTTCGGTGCGGCCAATTGCAACCAAAAAGGGAGATGCACAACTACATATTAAAGCAGTCCTATATACAAAATTGTAACGTTCTGAGGCTACTCGTTTTTGAATTATTCGAGATGCATACATACATACGTACGCACGTACAGATGACAGAAAAAAAAATCCCTTCTGAATACATTTTAAATCAGTTTTATAATTCGTTTGGGGAAAGTCCTTTATTCTGTTTTTACGTACAGATGTTCCGCAAAAACATCGTTAAATTGCATTTGATAGCGATCGAAATAAATATTTCCGTTGAAATATGGTGGAATTTTTCGTGATTACAATGCTTCCTTTATTTCATACATGGAAGTAAAAACATTACTTCATTAATTATTTAGAATATTTGGGGACCCACGATACTTAAGAGCTGCATGGAACATTATGGTTCTGCGAAAAACAACATTAGATTGCTAAAAGTTTTTAAAAATTGTAAAATTATACCCAATAACATTATCTCACCCACGCCAACTTATTTTCATCTTTTCAAGCGGAAGTGACGTTTGGCGATCAAGCAACCACAGGGTTGTGGAGTTCTGGGATAGATGATAATCCAATGTAGAGGCGCTCGTATACAACAACATTTGCCATAATTCAACACAAAGCGTGATAAGTAGCCAAATATAGCAAACTTGCCCAGAGCTATGCACGTGACGGTGCATTTTCCCGTACACGTTTCCGCGTTTGTGTGTACAATAATTGACTGTTGTAAACAAACAAGGTCTTTTTTTCCTCCTCTTCTCTTGTGGAATGTATCTCATTGGCGATATTTTGGAAACGTTTGTCTTTCATTGTAGTAACCTTCAACGTTACGTGTAGCGTGTTTTTAATTTGATTCAAAGCTGTTAGAAGAAGTCATATGTTGTTGTTCCTTTGAACATTTTACCTTATTACTGTCATCATGTTCACCAGGAACATACCTCGTTGTCTGTCTTCCTCCCCAATTAAACAAGTAATGCCCAGAATTTTCGTGCAAGATCGTACCTATTCTAAGAAAAATGAGAACTCAACTGAAATACATTTTAATGATCAACAGGCGTCGTATTATGCTGCTAAAGATGTAGAATTCTGTCCAAACAGAGCTAGAGAAGTAATGCAAAATTATGTACAAGAGACTGGACAAAACATGTGTAATGATGATCCATTTATCGAGACTAAAAAAATTGAGCCAGCGGTACCTATGAGTGATCGAGACCATATGGAAGCGTATCAGTCAGGAAATTCAGTTAGTCTATATTCTGTGATGCAAAGCAATGTGCCAGAACCTTTTTCAGCCCATGGCAGAGCGCCTACGCATCTCAATATGCCTGGTAGTTCTTCTAGCCAAGATTGTAAATATCTGTCTGGAAAACTACAGAGTACTCATCAGTCAAAACAGTGAGGTAAATCTTCCATTTATTTATACCTTTTTAGAATATTTCCATGTTAATTAAAAAACCATATTAAATCCTACTAGTTCTTATATTACAGCCAGTGGGTCAAGTGGATAAACGGTTTTGTAAATTTTTAATTTGTAATAATTGTTTCATCCATAGTGGAATATCTATTTATTGGTTTTAGTTATAATATTTCTTGTTAATAAACACTGAAATGCACTAGGATTTTATGAATGTTTATAATTTACTGAATTATGAATAGTAAGACTGATATGTTTTATATGTATGATAAGACAGATAAGTTAAGACAAATTCAGTTTAAATTTGCTTTTCTTTTGTAAAAATATTCTGTATATTTTACAAGGGACTCTCCTTTTCAAAGAGCGAATGATGGTTCAAGTTTGTTCACTTGGAGTTTTATGTAACCCAGTATATCAGCTGATGACTGAAGATCATTTTGATTTTTAGATACTTTTAGATTTACACAGTGCACAAGAAACGGCTTGAAATACAAACAGCATAATGGTACATAATTGGCATAATGGTACATATAAGAGTAATCCAAATTTAAAACTAATTAAATTATTACTTGGTAGTCTATTTCTTGTATATTTCTATTTAACCATTTCTAACTAACTTGTGTATTTCTATTTGCCGTTTAATTATTTTTTATGCAAAAGAGCAACCATGTTTACACAACTTACATTCTAAACTAAAAGATGGTTCTTTGCATCTCCCACAGGGTTAAGAACACGTTAACTAGAAAAATTGTAAATTGGGAACAAATATTCAAGCAGTTGAACATAGAATACTTTTCATACATCTACAGTTATTTTTATTATTACTCAAACCTGCAATAAATCCTGAATTAAATACATCAGAATATTAATTATGTGTAAAGTTATAGGTATTTTCACGAAGGTGACCTACCAGGCCATACCTGTAACAGGTGACCTATCTTGTATTTAGTTCTGACTGAGTTACATAACCGGCTTCGCTTAAGGCTTGCTTATATTGGTGTTTTTGTTAACATGTTCACTTCTCTGGCAAAAGAAATCAGTGAAAGATAATAAAATGTCTAAGGAAAAATTGTATAGAATATGAAAGAAATAATACCCACGGTGCAGTTCTGACATCTTGCTAAATTGTATTGCTGACCTATTAGCAGTGAAGACAAAATTAAGGCCATGCTGAAGGACATTAAGATAGTGTTTAGGGATAAAAATAGGAATGTTGGTTGATCTTTGGATTATGGTAACTTGGCGAAAATTTGGCGACCAACTCTGCTACAGCAACCCTCTATTTTTTTTCGCCGCCATTTTGTCTTCACGAAGTAAAGACATGTTTCTTTTCTTTTTACTTACTGAACACTTTTTCCAACAATCTACTAGCCGAATTACACTTATGCTAGAAATTTTATGTAACAAAACTGCTTAATCATGACAAATATTAACTGCAAAATTGGGAAAAAGTGCACAATCGCAAAGTCCTTACGCGTTTTACAGAATAGCACATACACATAAACCATTTACACGTTGACTTATTTTTACTTAAAAAAACATCCCAGAATTGCCCAAAAATGGCATTGCACACACTCTTAACTTTATCCATCTACACTGGTATTTTCTCATAAATTACAAAAATTTGCACGAAAATGCAAAAAAATTCTGTGAATCTTTAAACTCGGTAAAAAGCACGGTTGATCTTTGGATTATGGTAACTTGGCGATTTTTTGGCGACCAACTCTGCTACAGCAACCCTCTATTTTTTTTTTCGCCGCCATTTTGTCTTCACGAAGTAAAGACATGTTTCTTTTCTTTTTATTTACTCAACACTTTTTCCAACAATCTGCTAGCCGAATTACACTTATGCTAGAAATTTATGGAACAAAACTCCTTAATCATGACAAGTATTAACTGCAAAATTTGGAAAAAGTGCAGAATCGCAAACTTCTTGCAGTGTTTTTCAAAATCGCACATACACAGTAACCATGTACACGTCGACTTATTTTTACTTAAAAAAACATCCCAGAATTGCGCCAAAAATGGCATTGCGCACACTCTTGAAAATCCATCTACACTGCTATTTTCTCATAAATTACAAAAATTTGCACGAAAATGCAGGAAAATTTTGTGAATCTTTAAACTCGGTAAAAAGCACATATATGAAATTACCTGATCGCGAAAAAGTATATACCCTATCCAAGGATGAACATTTCCACGTATAATATAAATAAAATATCCAAAAACTTTTACCTCTAAATTATCTATTATAAACGTCACCAACGAATTCATAACAAAACATTAAAAATGGTTACAAATACTTAGTCTCAAATATTTAAATTATTTCCATGCACGTTTACTTCCACTGAAACGTATACCAAATTACTACAAACATATAATTCACAAAATAACTATCATTTAATTAAAATATAATTAAACCATGTACACGTAGACTTATTTTTACTTAAAAAAACATTCCAGAATTGCACAAAAATGGCATTGCACACACTCTTCACTATATCCATGTACACTGCTTTTTTCTCATAAATTAGAAAAATTTCACGAAAACGCATGACAATTTTGTGAATCCTTAAATTCGGTAAAAAGGACATATATGAAATTACCTGATCGCGAAAAAGTATATACCCTTTCCAAAGATGGACATTTGCACGTATAAAATAAATAAAATATCCAAAAACTTTTACCTCTAAATTATCTATTATAAACGTTACCAACAAATTTATAACAAAACATTAAAAATGATTACAAATACTTAAATTCTTTCCATGCACATTTACTTCTACTCAAACGTATTCCAAAATACTACAAACATATAACTCTCAAAATCACGATCGTTAAATTAAAATATCACTAAACCATGTACATGTCGACTTATTTTTACTTAAAAAAACATCCCAGAATTGCACAAAAATGGCATTGCGCACACTCTTCACTATATCCATGTACACTGCTTTTTTTCTCATAAATTAGAAAAATTTCACGAAAATGCATGAAAATACTCAACGTATTCTACTCAAACGTATTCCAAAATACTACAAACATATAACTCACAAAATCACGATCATTCAATTAAAATATAATTAAATTAAAAAACACGACTTAAAATATAAATAAGCACATACATTAAATTAATAAAAATTAGATTACAATCCTAATTACTTTAAACTAAATCATTGCTAATAACAATTTTCCAATAATATCATATTAATTTATTTACTCCTTACATTTAGAACAATGTATAAAAATAATATCCTCAAATGATTAAAAATACTAACTTACCTAATCTTCAGAATCTTCATTACGTGGCACGCACACTTTCACTATTTCACACAATGAAGCTTAATACAAAATAATATAGTACTACAGTTTTCCAAATTCCCCCCTTTCCCGATTAAAGAACTGTAATTCGTTCATTAATGTCGCATATCTCATGATCTCTCATTTTCCTCACACAAAATAATGCGTAATCGGAACTGAGTGCTTCTCACATTATTACCAAAGTCCTAGGTAGTAACCTTTATCGCCTCCAAAATGTCGCCAAACTACTAGTTACCATATTCCAAAGATCAGCCGGCTGTAATGCATTCTCACGTCTGAAATCTAAAACAGACTTTATATTTCCAGTAGTAAAAAGTGGTGATATTTAGTAAGTTTAGATACGGTCTCACCTCATATAATTTATCAGTATTGTCAATTTGACTATTGTCAAATGCAAATTCTGCTTAATATTCCTGTACTGCAAACATGATATTAATTCTTATATGACAGGTACAGAAATGTCCTTATCACAAGATTAATACACTTTTTCTTGAGGTAAAGAATGATATCCTGTAAGCAATAGTATTCCAATAAATTTTCTCATATAGGCTTCAGATGCAATAAATTCTGGGCATTTTTTTTTCCTGAGCGTATATAGTTGTCTGTTCAACGAGAAGAGAGTAAATGTCTAAACCAAAAAGAAAATCGAAAATATGTGCACTAGTTTTACCTTGTGTTTTGTCTTTTATAATTTCTCTTTTATCTCTTCCTTCATGTTCTTCCTGAGACATAACTAACAGTTCCTTTTTGATCCACTTCAAGATTTCAGTCTTCTGCTTTTTAAATTTTTTAGTATGACTATAACTGCTTTTAGAAGGCTGAAACTTACTTTTTTCGTCAATTTCAACTTTCCCAGCAGTATCATTTGGTAAAATATCATTACCATTATTTAAAACATTGCCATTCCTTTCTTCTTCGTCAGTAGTCTCTGCAATTTCTGGGGGAACAACAACAATATCAGTTTCATTCTGGTCATTATTAACATTATCATCATCTGTTTCTTCATCAAAAAATCTTTGAAGGGCTTCTTCTAATGTAAGATACCTCGTTCTAGGCATTTTTAAAAAACCAGAACATCGAAAGGAATGAGTGAAAAAGGAGATTGACTACCCGTTTCCTGCTGACGTTGCGTCAACGCAACACCTATTTTCCCTTTCTTCGCAATACAAATATAAACATCTGACTGATTTAATGTTCTGATAAACAGTGACCTTGACTAAAAATAGATCACTCATAAGGACAGCGATTCTTTCGTTAAATATTTTCAGCAAAAATAACCGGTCGAAAATTTTGCTTAAAGTATGAGATTAATTATTATAAACAAAATGATTATTGAAGGCAAATATTTTTTACAGAAATAATCTTCATAATATTCCCTACACAAAATCATCTGCTGGTATAAAATATCTTACGTAGTTATATTTATATACGCATTTATTTTGACCGTTGCGTCAACGCAACACCGGTGGCTAATGGGTTAAGCAGATGACTTTTAATCTTAACATTATTCAGTCAGAAAACATATTCCAAATGTTTTGTGTTGCATGACAATGCATCTTTTCATTATTCATTAACCAATCAGAGAAATGCTTTTGTTCTGAAAATAAGTATGTGTACTCAATCATCTTGCATGTTCTTCAAATTTGTCTTCTTGTGATTTTTTTCTTTCCCAAAAACTAAAGTTGCCTCTCAAAGGAAAGTTTTTGGACATTGAAGAGACAAAAGGAGTATGACATCTACTTTTAGAGTCATGTCAAAAACAGATCTCTACAAGTCTTCTCTTCCATTACATCCTTTGCATTCAGACAAAAAAGATAAATTCTATAATCTATTTTTATTACACTCTGATTACTTTATTAACATACAGTGAATATATACTAAACCTTTTACTTCAGCTTCAGTAATTCGGAATTTTTGACGGAATTGTTGTCGGAACTAGGACTTGAAAGATAAGTCAAATTGAATATTTCGATAATCCAATAAATTCAAGGTCAAAGTTTCAATATTTTATTTTTGGAGAGAGGGGAAATTTTTTCAGTTTTGGTCCAATATCCTAAGTATATTTGCTGCGATTCTTTATTTTTTCCATAAAAGCGAAAATCTTACGCATGGTATACATATAACGCATAGCTTCAAATAAAAATTTAACAATATACAGGGAGGTTATAATTAAAGGTCCACTCTGAAATGGTCATAAAAGGAAAACTACTGGATCAAATGTTATCAAACTTGGTAACCGTGTAAAGGAGGTCATGGGAATTTATTTTCCACGAAAAAAAGAAAGTTCGAAACCTTACCAGGGGGAAATGGCACTGTGTGCAATATTGTTAAACGAAATATGGGTCGGAATCTAACTTAACCTTTTGTTTCACAAGTTTAATATGTTGTATACCCTTAAGAAACTTTGAAGTAAGCAAATTACCATTTAAAGGCGTTAAAGTTGAGTGCGCCATCCGTGTAAGGGAGAAATTCGTCCATGAAAACCACGAATTAGCAATTAAGAAATGTGAGATCGCGAATCACTTGCACAAGTGCGTACAATCTGAAGATAAATTCCCATAACCTCCTTTACACGATTCCCAAGTTTGATAACATTTGGTCTGGTAGTTTTCCTTTTATGACCATTTCAAAGTGGAACTTTAATTATAACCACCATGTAGATTAAACTTTAAAAGTTAGACAGGTTAGACAGTTTGGTTCAAGTCCCAGCTTTAAAAAATAAAAATATAAATTTTTATATTAATCCTCTTAGAAAGAATGTTTTAAGAAGCTATTTTTTCTCTAGTTTTATAGATTGTATTAAAAAAATGATCTTTAATATGATTTAGATTGTTTCAGCTGATATAAGAATCGGGTCCCTCGGTGATACAGAATAAACATCGCTGGACTGTTTTGTTTCGTCATTAGAAGGACACACTGTGTAACAACAGTGTTCATTACAGAAATTAAGTGCTGTGACGAAATTGTCAACTAAACTTTCCCGACACTGCAGAGAGGAAAGACAGGATTTGTCTAAGGTTGATAACTTTGTAGAGTGGTGGAGAGTACCATTGAGTTCCATGTGCCAAAGGTTGTCGAAGCCTGGCCCAAAACATTAGAGGTGTAAAGAAATTAAAAATTTTATTACATTTTATGCGTAATACACTAACATTTTCTAAAAGGCTGATACTTGGTGAAGTGTTTTATTATAAATATTTTGAGGCTTTTTTAATTTTATTTCTTGAAATTTATTTAGTATTTATTTTACAGAATCTCAAAGAAACATACTGTGATGATGAACTCAAGGATCTCTTCCATTTGCTTCCAACTTGAAGTTGAATTGAAAATTTTTATTTCTTTTAATTTTTATGTGTACTTGATATTCTTTTTGTAAAATTACAGGTAAATAAAATATATTACAATACTCATTTCTATATCATTCTGCTCACTTTATTAGCAGTGAAAACATTTCATACTATAATTTATCTCAAATGACTGCTTAAAGGTGTAATAGTAGTTAAAATTGAAAGTTACGGTGTGCTGATATTCACTGTTTTCATGCTTATTTGTTATTTCAAAGAGTATTACATGATTTTTCTCCCAAAAAATAAAAAATGCATACTTTTTTAATCCATCTGTACATTTTAAAGAAAAAATACAATTTATGTATGAGGCGTATTCGGAAACTAAGTACTGTTTTAAAAAAAAAAAATAGTAAAATAATTTTTTCGAATACAGTTTTATTTTTGCATGAAAATACATGTCTTAAACTATTTTTCAACATAGTTTCCGCCAATGATCAAACACTTGTCATAGCGGGTGACCAGTTTTTGTATACCATCGTCAAAGAAACTTCCCGCCAGTTTCGATAACCACGACTCCACAGCATTTTTTGTGTCATCGTCAGATCCAAAGCGCTTGCCACCAAGCTCGTGCTTCATGTGCAGGAACAAGTCATAGTTGGACGGTGCCAAGTCTGGGCTGTACGGCGGGTGATCAAACTGCTCCTAATGAAACTGTCGAATTAACGATTGAGTGACACCAGCAGTATGGGGCCGAGCATTGTCATGGAGCAACACAATTCCTTTACTGAGCATTCCTCTTCATTTGTTTTGAATGGCACGCCTTAGTTTTGTTAAAGTCTCACAATATCGTGCCGCAATCATGGTTTCACCTCTGGGAAGAAATTCAGTAAGCAAAACGCTTTCCTATCCCAGAAGACCGTGCACATGATTTTTTGTGATGACATTGTCACTTTGAACTTTTGTTTTTTCGGAGAATGAGTGTGTCTCCACTCCATCGATTGTTGTTTCGATTCTGGTGTGAAATGACACACCCAAGTTTCATCACCTGTCACTATTTGGTTTAAAAAGTTTTCTCCCTCATCACTGTACCGCGTGAGAAATGTCAGGGCACTATCAAGTCGCTTTGTTTTGTGAACATCAGTGAGCATTTTTGGAACCCATCGGGAACACAGTTTGCAATAATTCAAGTGGTCAGACACAATTTCGAACAAAACAGTACGTGAAATTTGTGTAAATGCGTCTGAAAGAGTTGTCATTGTGAAGCGTCTGTTCTCATGAATTGCTTCATCAACTTTCCTTACCAAATCATCGGTGACAACAGAAGGCCAACCACTCTGAGCCTCGGCATGGACATTTGTTCGACCTGCATTAAACATTCTTACCCACTTTCTCACCATTCCATCACTTATCGCGTATTCACCGTAAACTTCTGTCACTTGACGATAAATTTCGGCCGGTTTAACATTCCTCGCGTTCAAAAATTTAATCACGGCACGAATCTCACAGTCAGCGGGAGAACTAATTGTCTTAAACATTTTGAATGTGCACAGCAAACTGAAAACACAACATAGAGCACCAAAATGGCGACAATTGAAAGTCAGTGAACAAGAAAGACTAGTGCGCATGCGTGGGACGCCTACCACAGCGCTGCGACTGCACTAGAATGAAACGGTACTTAGTTTCCGAATACGCTACGTATATGTTAACTTCCTGACTAATTATCTTTTCTCCAATGTTAAAATTATATAATATTTTAGTATTGAATAACATGAAAGCTTATATCATTCGGTATCCCAGCAAATTTTTTATATTGTATCATGCATAAGTATTGTAGTTGCTCAATTATTAAAAATTATCATGGATGTTTTTTATGCTGATGTTGAGTCTACTTCATCAGCCTGAAATAAAAGTGCTTGTGTAAATTCACAACTTCTGGTTACAAAAAAATGAATGCTACATTAGTTGCTGAATTTATTATGAAGAGCTGTAGTGTATTTCTTAATTCAATTAAAAAATTGGAAAAATTGAATTCATGTAAGTAATACAAAATGTGTTTGGAAAATGAAAATAAATTTAATGAGTACCTTTGTTAGCCATCTTCTTCCTTTAAGAAATATATATTTCAAGAAATAACAAAATTTTTAATGATACTATTGCTCAGCATATAAATATACAATTTTCTACCCTTTTAAAATATAGAAATGAAATTATTCGTCATATGTATTTGACTGTACAACTTCACTCACTCTAATTGTGTCAAAAAATACTGCTGCCAAGAAAAGTATAATAGAAACTAGAAATAAACCTAGCAAAAGAAAAATAAATAAGTAAAAAATACAAATTAATATTATAAAAGATATTTTTAAGTACAATTTGATAAAGTCAAGCAGCGTGGTCGTGTTTTAAAATTCGGAAAATATTTTTTTTCTCAAATCTTTTGTAATTTTGTGTTGTTAATTGCCATGTATTATTTTAATTTGAATACATTTGACTCTGTAAATTTTATATCGGTTTTACTAGCAAAAAAATATGTGCAACCAGCTGATTTTGCTTGGATTCTTCAAGAATTATCTGATGAAGACAAGGAAACCTTTGGATGGGAGAACGATAGCGATTTCCATTCCTTATATTTTTTATTTCTATTTTTTAGAAATAAATAAAAATATTAAAGTGCATTTTTGTAACCAGTAAGAAGTAAATTTCCTTGTTGAAGTAAGTAATGCTAAACTTACTTTTTTCCCTAATGTGTTGTCTATACTTGTCTTTGGTGAATATTAAAATTAGCTTCGATTTTAAAATCTAATTATTAAATAATAAATTAAAAATGTTCTATAATGAAATACATCATTGCATTTCCATCTCACTAACTACTTATAAGAACTTAAAAATAATTTACTTTATTTGAATGTGATATCATTTGTATTTTGCAATAATAAGATTAATATTTTATTTCTTAACAAATTTATTATCAAATATTCACTCATTTCTGTCGTTTTTCATGCCAAAAATGGTAAAATAACGGATGTCGTAAAAATACGACGCGTGCGTGCTCATGTAAAATTGCCAAGCGCACATGCTGGAAGGTTAAAGAGTGTTGTGAATACCAGTATGAATTCTTAATAGGGTTTCATTTAAATGTCTTAAAATTTCATTTTGGTATAATCCATATTTTAATAGTGTTTTTATATATACTTATAAATACTGAAGCAGTTCAAAGCGTAATGAACAATACAAATTAATTCTAGTAAAATTTTTAATTGCACGTCAAAAGTAGTACCTGCAAGGCTGAAGTATTACAGGATATAAAAGGTTTTTATAATTTTAATGCAATTTAATTTCTGTTTATAATTTATGCTGTAAACCTTTTATCATATCTCTATCAATTAAGTAAAGATATCAAAGAAAGCATTTTTAATTTTTAACAATTTTCTGTGCCAAAATTATTTAAATTAGAAAACTATGTTAGATGATATGATGTTATTCTAACTATCTTTTCTCCACTGTTAAAATTATTACATAATTTTAAGAGATGTAATAGTATTAAGTAATGTTTTTTAATATGCACATACATAAAGCTTTCTAACACAACACTGGGTAAGAAATATATATGTGAAATAAATATATTTTATTTAAGATTTAAATTGATATAAAATGAAGTATTGTTATTGTAACCATTATTTTAGAATACAAATATTTCCTAATCTGTTAGTAATATCGAATGCATTATGAAAGAATATAAAACTATCTACTGATATGTTCTTTTTAAATTAAGTTAAATAGAATATTGCTGTAGAATATTACATTAATACAGTACAAAGTCCGGGATCCAGATGTCCTATATCCAGAATGGTCTAAAATCTGGACCTCAAAGCCACCAACTTTTGTTTTTGTATGTTTTACGCATGCACATTTATATTTTTATAATAAAACATGCGGAAAGTCATCCTGATTCTTAATTTCACTTTGGCGCTGAATAAGATACCTGGTTATTGAAGAAGCACATTTTATCGTAAATTTGTATGATCAATAATTTAACAACTACAATATAGCTGCTTATCTGCTTGGTATACAACTCAACTGAAACATTCTTCATAGAAACATCGTTAATTTTACATCAACTAATATTTTATACCCGTGACGCCAGTCTGTCCAATCATTATTTAGCTTTCATCACCGCATGTTTATCAGCACATGATGACTTGCATAATGACTCATGTAGCAATGCCTAAACATTTTTTTTTTTTTTTTTTTTAAATATTAGTAATTGAACAACAAAGTGTATGGTAAACTTTTCTGCTGACATTACACTTGGTGATTATGGATTTAAGTTTAATGCCCTAAGAAATGTTGATGAGGAAAAATTTAACAAATCTTTCTTTTCCATATGCTAAAAATAGATTTTATTAATGATACTCATAGGCCAAAATGTTACATTCAGTGCTATTTTAATTAAGAACAACTGATTTGTTATTCACATAAACCTGGAACTGATGTCAAAGCTCGTATGGCTGCACCAGGCAGCAGAATTTAAGGAAGAGAAAATTTCTGGAATTTAGAGAAACACTGAGTAACAAAATATTTAGATTTTAGGGAAAGCACTGGGACCCAAAATTTAGAACTTAGGCACTTGATAGCAAAATTTTTGACCTGCAGAGAACTGCATCAGGTGTAAGATATCTAGTACCGGCCCTCGACAAGCCTTAAGTATATGTGGGAATTTATTCAGGACTTGGACTTAAGTATGTGCAAGAAATAGACATAAGTATAATAAATAACCAAACTAATACAATTCAAGCATAATTGTCTCGGTGTGCCATAGAAGCAAGACAAAATTTAGCAGAACAACTCGTCTTCGTCATCAATCTCATGATACATAGCCAATAATGTGTAGAAAACGCTATGAAGCTGGACTAAAATTATACTCCAAGGAATTTCAGTTAATGTAGCAGAGTGCGCTGTTGCTTAACTTTCTAATTTGATCCAGCTTATTATTTTTGCAGGCTGTTTTGATTACAGCAATTTTATGTAAATTAAAGTTTTAAACTTTCAATTATGTCAAAAAGAGATTCTAATTCTAGAGCTGCAACAGGATCTACAGAGTGAAAGCATATTTCGATGTCCATTAAAAGAATGTGGAATTGCTGCAAAAAATAGATAAAGGGTATCCGTCTCAAAATTATGTGAGGATTATAGCACCAAAAAGTCAGCTGTATATGACATAAGAAAACAGGAAAAGGAACTTTTTAAATTTTTTGTGGTTTCTGACACCCCACTGGCAATCTAAAAATTTCAGGTGAAAAAGCTTCAGCTCTTACTGAAGCTGCTGAACTATTTGCAGATGAATTCACTAAACTCAATAAGAGTGAAAACTTACCTCAAGGAAAATTTACAATGCTGGTGAAACTGGTCTTTTCTGTCAATATGTATTACAAAATACCTTGGCAAACTCTACAGGAAAGGCTCCAACTGGGGTCAAAGATTCCAAAGTCAGAATAAAAATTTTAGTAAGCACAAGTGGAAACTTTTCATAATCGTAAAAAATACATGACCTCGAACATGTAAAGGAATACAGATTTTTCCCATTATATATTGTGCAAATAAAAGAGCATGGATGAAGCAAGTGTTAGTGAATGATTGGTTTGAAAATAATTTCATAGCTGAGGCTCAGCAACATTTGTATTCGGTTGGTTTACCTGATGACACAAAAATTGTCCTGACTGTAGACAACTGTTTGGCTTATGTTTCACTTAAAGTTTTAGTGAAAGGTATCTGTATTATTCTTTCCTCCAAATTGTACTTCCATCATTCAGCCTATAGGTATCGGAATAGTGCACACACAAGACTACTCAGAAATTTTCGAAATATTTTAACATAAAATCTGCTAGCATTGCAAGACCGCAGGAGGATGTGTCTCCAGATACTTTAAAAAATGCTTGGCATCATCTATGACCAGCTACTATATTTCATGGTAAGGATGATGAAGATGATAGTCGCGAATTTGAAGGTTTTTGTGTATTGCAAACCAAAGCTGAAATTTTCTAATTAATGGATTTTGTAAAGAAAAGTTTAGAAGTGTTAATAAATGAAGATGATGTGACAGAAGTTTTTCATTGCAATGACAAGCCCCCAATCAATGGATGGCAAAATCTGAAGTATGGTTCTAGATCCAGAAAATAGAACTAGCAATAGTGAAGAAAATAACACAGAAGTTATTGAAAATGAAAAAATTTTGATTGACAAATTATTTGGGAATCTTGACACAGCAATTACAGGATTTGAACAATGGAACTTTGTAACTGAACAAAAAATTATATCTGTCTATAGAATCAAGAGAGAATATTAGCACATACACACACACACACACACACACACACAAAAAAAAAAAAAAAAAAAAAAAAAAAACTTAAACAACTTATATTGAAAGAAATGTTTCTAAAGTAAACGGATATTATGCTTCTTCTTTTTTTTTTTTTTTTTTTTTTTTTTTTTTGTGTGTGTGTTGTGTGTGTGTAAAGTTGACATCCTTTTAATTTTATAATTTCTGCATGCCAGCTTACTAGATTTAAACTGATAATCTAATATCTGGAATTACTGAAGTCCCGATCAGTCTGGATCTTGGACTTTGTTCTGTAATAATTTTTTATTGATATCACTTACCTACATATACTGCTATAATTCCTGGAAAGCTTGTAACAATCCCAAATGTTACTGCCTGTAAAGAGAAAAATTTACTAGATTTTTTTAATGATTAATTTTGTTTAAAATTTGAATCACTGAAGTATGATTGAATTAGCAGCACATATTGAGCACTTAATTTATCCATGTACCCTTTATAACAATTTAGTTTATGATTATTCAAATTCAACCAGTTTAGAAAATAGAATGAAATAAGATAAGATATATTCAAAATATTAAATTTAAGTAAAAGTGTAGCTTTAAACCATATTGCAATCAATTTTAACATAGGAAATACATTTCTATATTTTAAACTGTGGCGGGAGGTATATAATTTATATATCTGCTAACTTTATTAATTTCATAATATTGTATAAATATTACAATAAAAATATAGAAAACCATGAATATTCATTTTATTTTTTATTTATATAAGTACATGATGCAGAAGTATACTTCATAGGCACAGTATTTGGTGATAAAAATAGGCTGCTCTCACACTGCTAGATTATATTTTTGGCCATCTTTCATATTTTGAGAAAGCATAGACAAAATTTCATATGCCTATTAATACAAGGTACATCCATAAAATAACTAAACAATTTCTTATAAATAAAAGAAAGTTAACTAACCTTCAGATAAATTGATCTCCTTCACAACAATCAACCATTGTTATACAGTTTTTTTCCAGTGTTTCTTCTGGTCATGAATCACTGTTTAGAGGCATTGGAACATAATCGTATGCAAAACGTATGGAACATTTGATTTAATATCTGAAATGTTTTCAAATTTCTGTCCTTTCGTGGCCAACTTAAGCTTCAGAAAAGGGAAAACATCGGCTGGCGATAAATCAGGAGAATATTGTGGGTGATTTATCACTGCAACTGAATGCTTAACAATATACTGTTCTACTGACAATGCTGTATGAGGCTTAGCATAATCATGTAAAAGAAACCATTGCCCAGAAAAAAAAAAAAAAAAAAAAAAAGTTTCTTCCTAACTTGTTTTATCCTGTTTCTTAATCGAAAAAGCATATCCTTGTAAAAATACTGATTAATTAATTCATTTTCAGGGACAAATTCATGGTGAATAAGTCCTTTGTAATCAAAAAATGCAATCAGCATTATTTTAGTCTTTGATTTTGACATTCATGCTTTTTTTATGGGAGATTGTCCTTTCTACTATGCTCTTTGTTCTTTTGTTTGTTTTGGGGTCATATAAGCAATATCATATATGTACTTTTCAAATCGTGTGTACTGTTTTTGCTGCAAATTTACCTAATTTGTAACAAAATTTAATGTTATAACATTGTTCAATGCCATTTTCTCATCCTAGTGCCATTATAGAAGTATCAAATATGCTTTTGCTTTGCAGCTGCAGAATTAGAATCTTTTTTACATTATCAAAAAGTCAAGCTTTAATTTTGATAAAATAGCTTTAATAATAAAAGTCTAAAAAAGAATAAACTAGATCAAATTAATTCAGGAAGAGTGCAGTTTGCTGTGGTAACTAAACTTAATTTCTTCCAAATCTTAGGGCTTAAGTTATTATTGTTTAGGTCAGATAGAAAAATGTTATCCTTTCCCCTTCTCAACCACTTAAGAGCCTAAAGTGTGATTGCAGCTAAGGTTAATGCATTGCTACTGGCCACAGTGATTTCCTATCCAGCGGGTGTACAAAAGTGACATACAAAAATCACAGTTGGGAGAAAATCACCTTTGTGACACACCTACCTTTTTTAAGAGTTATATATAAAAAAAAAAAGCTGTTGATCCAGTGGTCTCAGATTTCAGACTGTACTGAATAGATGACAAAGTATGTAACATTTCTCCTTGTTATACAGCTCATAAATTTTTCATAGGTAGTTTCAAATTCAGCTTGTATAAGAGGTTTCTAATTTCCTGTAGTCCTAAACTTTATTGCTTCAAAAATAGATATTTTTCTCTATTAAAGATTGTTTTCTGTATTGCTGTCACAAACTTTCGAAGACTAGTAGTATAAATCAGAAGAATGTACAATTAAGAGTGTTCCAAGATACAATTCCATGTTTATGAATACTTTTTTATATATGTTTCGTGTACATTTGTTTGTATTATATAGGTTTCACAAATGAATTAATATGAAAAGATTAAAACCATTATTACACACAAAAATTATAAATTACTTACTGGAATTGTAATACCAGCCACTAGAAAACATACTGCTAATGTAAAAAGAGGTATTGTTCGCCGTCGAACAAATTCTTTTCTGACTGCTGACCTGTAAAAATAATCAATTCAGTATATAACTCTAACAAATCAAAAACTGTATTATCTTTTCTCCCCTGATTCTGAACTTGACGGAGGGACTTCGCTCTCCTTCCCTCTAAAGTTTGAATTTTAATTGTGCTGCTATTGGCGGACAACAGGAAAATGATTGTGTAGCTATCTTTGGAGGTTCCATGGTATAACATTATGTAATACCAGTGAGCTGTAAATATTACACTTGTAATTCTTTTTATGTTATGTTTAAAATATTTTTTACAAGTGTTTAAATAATTTTTGTCAAGTGTTTATTTTTCTTTCAAAGTAAGGAAATGTATGTTCTTGTTGTAAACTGGCAGCCTAGGGACCAAAAATCCAATTTAGGTGGTTATAAACATATGGCTGAAAATCACCATATTGATCGTCAAAACCAAAAAAAGTTATGATGACGGACAGTCCATGGATACATTAAAGATAAGTAAACTTTAATGTTTAAAGATTAAGTTTAAAATATTAGGTAAATTCAGAACTAAAGGAAAATTTCAGAATTCTGGTCACCTTGACTTAAATTTATTTTCACTGATCATCAAGATCAAGTAAATATAAGAAGAATTCTGATCATACTGACCTAATTTTGTTTCTGCTAATCATCCCAAATCAATTAAATGTTCAAGATGGCCCTGATTATATCATACGAGTTCTGTTGCATATCAATCCTTTTAGTACTAAACAATAAATTTTGAAGTATTGCTGAAATTTAAATGAGGAATTTTGTGGTAGTACCTCTACTTCAGCAATATTAAAAATTAATATTTGAAGAAATATTTTGTATAAAGTTTAAGTCTTTTGTTGTATGCAGGTTTTTCTTATGAATCAGTGAGAATAAATTTCAAATATAATAAATACATAATAAACAACTCTTAGTTTTATTTTGAAAACATAAAAAGGTTTTCAAAACATATTTATTTTGAAAACATAAAAAGGTTTTCAAAATATGTGTCGTCTAAAGTTGCCACATTTTTACACTAATGTAAATTATTGAAATCATTCTATAACAGTTTATGTTCTGAGAATGGCATTGTGTATTTTATAGGTTATTTCAGAAAATCTATATGGAAAGTAATGTAAAATGAGTTATTATTTTGTTTTATGTTTGCTTTTGAATATGTATGTTTGATGTGTACTAAATCTGTATAAAAATATTTTAAACTGTATACTATATGTTGGCATACTCAAAGTTTTAGAAAATTTATTTACTTTCATTTAAGCATGGCTTATATAGTAAAAGGGAAGAAAGAGGATTTAGTTGAATTAGTGGAGACACTAGGTGTAGAGTGATAGAGGAAATTTTAGAATTCCTGAAATAAGTAATGCTATAATCACTAATTCCACATATGATATACAGTTTATGAAAGAATTATTGAACCATCTTATAGGAAAGAAATAAAATTAGAACAGCATGCTGAGAGAGAAATAAATGAATGATGGTTTGAATTGGAGAAATTAAAATTATAGTCTAGTATTACTGCTACCATAACAGAATCTACAGTATCTTCTGCAAACACAGAAATACCTAAGTTAGAAATGAACAAGTTAATTCTTAATTTTGATCGTAAAACAGCTCGCATGAGTTTATTTGTGGACTTGTTTGAGAGGCAGTTAACCTTTCTGAAAGTACCAACTTTAAACTGGGTTCTATCTTGTTAGTATTCTGCCAACCAATGTAACAAAACTAATTGCAAAAAAAATCTCTTGATGATGCTCAGGATTATTAGAAAATTAAACAAATTTGCTTTTTTAAGTTTTATGAACTATGGATAATTTAAAAGTACATTTCTGAAGTCATGCACTACCAAAATATATATATATATATATGGTTTTAGACCACTGAACATCTCAAGAGTTTTTCTAATACCAGAAGTAAGGAAAACCATCTAGTGTTCCCACTTCCTTTGTAACAGAAGTTCTACATCTTTAACAGCAAATATATGAAAAATGTTGAAAATTTTGTTAATTATAGATGCAATATCAACTGATGGCAAGTCTGTGCATTTGCAAACTATTGCGAGTCAAATGCGTGGCACATTCATCTCTCAAAATATCCATTTTCATGTTGTTTTGTAACTTTTAAAAACACTGTTTTTATCTTTTTTTAGCTGGGTTCTCTGAAATTTCTGGTGTACAAAATACTGGATTTTTTTTCAGCTGTTTTATGCTTCTCCAAAGAAAACAGAAGAATATGGCTTACTGAGATTTCAAAAGTTTCTCTTTCTTTTCTGGACCTCTCTTACCTTAGAAACAATTCACAAAAATAAGTACTTATTTTAAGTTTGAATTATACAAATCCGTGATCATAGAGCTCTTTTTTATGCTGTGAGTTCTATCTTGCTCATTTTTCAGAATACAAAAAGAAGATAAACATCTATATTTTACACTTTGTACATGTATACTTTTTTTAAAACAAACATATTATGATACTAGATGTACAATCTACTGATCTAATTGATTGTTATGCTTTTTAGTATGGAAGGCTAATAATCCTTTTACAATAAGAACGTGGTATTTATACAGTGCACGCTCTAATGATATCCAGGGAGTTAAAACAAATGTGTATAATACTTTACTACCATTACTTTAATGGGGAATAGCTATTCTATCTTTATTATATCTGTAGAAATAATATTTGCAGTTTAGCATCTCTCATATATTAAGTGAAATAAGCAATAGTTTAAAATTAATATAATAATTCTAATATATTAAAACTCTGCATGGATATAAATTATAATCATATATATCATACCATGCAGACATAAAACAAGCCTGTATAATGATTGCATACAAAGGCAGAAAGTTTTGGATGAGAAATATTGATTCTACACATACTCTTCAAGATTACACATAATTAAAAGTCAGTAATTATCCATTAAAGTAGCATTATATCAAAATGTGAAGCTAATTATAGATCCCTTTATTTGAAGGATGTGAAATGAAACTCTTTTTCATATTTTGAAATCTTTTCAAAAGAAGACTCCAGTATGAGTTTTATGAATACATAAAAAAAAAAATTACTACAGAAGAAAACTGGACACTTTTGTTCTTTCCTGTGTCCCCTCTGCCCCAATGGAAAATCCTGTTAAAAGCAGGTCATTTAACCACTCTAATATGATTCAAGCAATAATCATAATGAGTTGTATAACAAAATTATTAACTAAAATAGAATAAAATAAACAACTTAGCTGGATTATTTTATTTTGCTCAGTCAAACAGAAATAAACAAATTTTAAAAAATCATTTAAGATATACGAGTTTTATTAAAATTTTATCTGGTAAAACTGGTAAAATTTTATCTTTTGCCTTAATAGCAATTAAAAGGTCATCATATTTCAAGAGAGGCAGAACAGCAGCATCTCAGAAATAAATTTCTTTCTGTCTCTTAAAACTGAGTATTTTAATTATAATTAAAAAATAGGATTTTGCCAGTTATTAACTATCTATTTCAATAGGGGACGAAATGATGATTTTGATCTGAAATTTTCCAAAAAATTTTTTCCAGTAAGTGGAAGTTAAATATATTTTGCTGTTTCCTGCTGTTGTTTGCTTTGAAATCAAAAATTTTAACTCTGGAATTAAGGGAAGCACAATGAGTTGATACAGATGTACTCTAAAATTTTGGCTTTAAATTGTTCATCATCTTATTAGAATTAAAATATGTTTATTCTGGAGCTTACTTTTTGGCACAGTAAGGACATAAAGCCAGTTTCTTAGTGAATACATCATACTGAAATAAAATGAATATAGCTTAGAAATTTTTAATATAATTTTACATCTTTAAACTTGAAATATAAGAAAGCAGTAATATGTAAATGTCTTAATCAATCAGAAGCAATAATCTTTAAAATACAACTGCTAAAAACTAATTTATATTTCAATCTTTGTGTCCATAAATATTTTTGAGTAAAATTCTATGATGAAAAAGTAATATTCTATATTGCATTCAATAAAAATAAAATACAAAGTATGCATTTTTATTATGTGTTTCATAGCTACAACTGCCCCAGTTTTACTGGAAGAATCTCGGTTTTTCATCACATCTCCCAGTCTCTTGGTAAATCAGCAGTTTTTAATTTTTAGCCTTTACTAAGAAAAATGTTTCCCAGCAATAAATGAAATTGATTGAAGAAATGAAACTAAAATTAGGCAAATTCCAGTCCCCAATAGCTAATGATTTTCAGAAAAAATCTTCTTACTAAATTTTATTTCATATGAATTGTATTTTTTCTTATTGCATTTTATTGATCTAATTAAATTTTTCTTGTTCAATTTCATTTCATCTGAGTTGTTTTAATATACTATAGACAATTGTAAATTTTTATATGAAGATTCAACTGATGTTTAATCATTGTATTGTATTTAATATGTTTACTCCAATATATGGTTTTAAAGTTAAGCTAAGTTTATCAATAGAAATGCTATGCACATTGATTATTATTATTATTTTCCTCATATTTAAAATTACTTTGATAAATAAAAGCTTTTATTCATTATGCAGAGTTAATTACAAAGCAAATGTTAATTACAAAGCAAATCCTTTGAAAACCAAATACACTGACTACCAATAAGTATTTGGACACCTATGCAAATGACGATATCTGCGGCCCTAAGGTACGTCATGAACTCCGCCAGTATATATTGTGTAGGAAACAGCATCGGCTTTAGTCGCATGCAAGATGCCTCGCAGTTCGAAGCTCTTTGATTTCGAGAAAGGTAAAATTATCGGGTATCACAAATGTGGCCGATCCTTAAGGGACATATCTAGCGAGCTGAAGTACCCAAAATCGACAGTGGCCTATGTAATTAAGAAGTGGAAGGTGAGCGGTGATTGTTGGAATGTGCCCCTAGTCGGCAGACCAACGAAACTGGGAGATAAAGACTGACGAGTGCTGTCCAGAGGAATTCAGAAGAACCGCATGCAACCGATGGCCGTCATCCGCGAGGAGTTTCAACAGGCATCCGGAAGTATTGTTTCAATGAATACCATCCGTAAGGAAGCACATCTGCTTGGTTTCATGGTCGTGCTGCTGCCCATAAGCCTTTGACCAAAAGTCCAACCGCGCTGCTCGGTTAATGTGGTGCAAAGCACATCAAAATTGGATCGTAGATCAACGGGTTCTTTGGAGTGACGAATCAAGGTTCAACATTTACTGCTCGGATGGCAGGGTCTGGGTCTGGCGTTTACCTGGAGAACGTCTCCTGCCAGAATGCATTGTGCCAACAGTCAAGTTCGGCAGAGGTGGAATTATGGTCTGTGGGTGTTTCTCCTGGTATGGGCTGGGACCCTTGGTCCCCATTCATGGTAAGCTCAACTCCGATGCCTACTGTACTATTTTGGATGACAATGTGCTTCCTACGTTGTGGCAGTTTTACGGGTTGGACCCCTGTTACTTTCAGGATGACAATGCCAGTTGTCATGTTTCGACATTAACCAAGGGTTGGTATGGTGCCAATGGAGTTCATCGAATGGACTGGCCTGCCCAGAGTCCAGACCTGAACCCTATCGAGAACCTCTGGGACGAGTTGCATCCCCGAATTCAGGGGTGCACTACCTGTGCAAAATCAGGAAAGGAACTTCTATGTCTTCTCCAAGCTGAGTCAAAGAAAATACCACTAGCTGTCATACAAAGACTTGTGGAAAGTATGCCCTGGAGGGTCCACGCTGTGATTACCTCTCGTGGAGGCTCTACCAACTATTGATTTTGAATAAAGTTAGTTTTTCTTTTCTATCACAGGTGTCCAAATACTTATTGGTAGTCAGTGTATAAACATACATCTCTACAAAACAATTATTAAAACTATTTAATTACTTTTTGCACAACTTTTTGAGTCTTTTTTCAGGATTAATAGATTTTAAATTTTAATTAAAGTTTTACACTAAATAATATAGTTTTTTCCCATTTTTGTGTAACAAGAGTCAGATTTTACTTAAATTTCATTCAATTAATATGCAGTTTTTTTTTTTTTACTAAAAAATGTAAATAAATTTTCTTTAAAAGTTTTTCTTGTGGATTACATATTTCATACAAGATTTTAGCCTTTTAAGCGATTACTTTCTCACCAAGGTTTTGTAGTTTCGCCAATGAAACCAAAATGGCAAACCTGTATATCACTTCTGTTTCGCATCTCATAGTTGAGACTGGTGTCTAATAAGAGTGCTCGAGGTTCTTAATTACTTCTTGTGTATTCTAATTAGTTTTTTTTCAACAGTGTTTTATAAATTCACTCACATCTTTATTCATTGGATTATCTGTTTAAAAGTAAACATTTTGATTTAAAATTCTTCACTGAAGTATTTTGTTTTGTCACTTTTGATTTTAATTTTAATAAAATAGTATTCTCTTTTTTTTTAAGATTTTTCTAATTATTCTAATTAGAAATTATTTTTTTTTCTTGCTTTGGAGAAGGGCCATAATTTTCGGGTGAACTATTATAATTAAAATGCATTGAAATGGTTCATCGGCTAATTCTGGATACAGAAAAGCAGGGATTTTTGTAGGAGAGAGATTTCAATTGATTTCCTCCCCACTGATGAAGTAGCATTGAAGTTGATTGAATTCCTCTTCTGTTTATGTTCATTTTTCTTTACATTTCATTGATTTTTTTAAATGGGGTTTTATTTGTTTAAAGTGTTTAGGCTTTTAACATTTTTAAATTCTTTGTTGCAATTATTTGAAATTTATTAATTATGAATTTCAATTTTTGGTCTTTGTGAAATATTAGTTCTAAATTTCTTATTTTATATCTTTAATAATTAAATGTTAATATATTTTACATTAGAACTGAATTACACATAGTTCATATAAAGTAAATTAAAGTCAGTTTGGAGTTCCTTGCAAATGGTGTTGCCACAATGCCAGAACCTCCTGATTTCCTCCATTTTCTCACAAAAATCTTTCAGTTTTTAAAATTTAAAGGTCAGCAGCTATGATATTTATGGACTATGTCAATAAAGTATATTTTTTATGTAAAAATTACAGTTTTCAGTATAATATTATACATAGCAGATTCAAATTAGATAAGAATCCAGCAGAATTAACAAGGAAAAAAAAATAAAAGCAAAATATACATTTCAGTCAATAAATATGTGGTTTATAAAAGGGGTATATTTCAGCATTCATAGGTAACTCAGTCTTTTAAGGGTTGTTATATGACATATACTTACATTTCAAATGCAAAATAATTTCTTACTTTTAACTAGAATGCATGCAATGTTTTTAAATATGTATCACAGTAAGTCAGAAGTTAAAGTATTCACAGTTCTTAAGCTTTAAAAAATAAATTTTAAACTTTATAATATTATTATAAACTTAGGAATATATAACATATTAGACAGAAAATAGCATTATTTTTTAAGTAAGATATTTTTATGAAAAGTTATGATGTTATCATACATAATTTACCAAATTATATGCATAAATGGATTGCTGATATCTTTTTTAGCAATAATAATATTGTTCTATGAATGTACTAAATAGAATGGAAATTATATAGCTATTATCAAGAAAAATTTAAAGCCTGTGTTCATATCTTTTTCCTGCCAAGTCATAACTCATAAATGTTAAATCAACAAACATATTTTAATTTCATTTTAAAAGGAATGCAAAACTCTGAGAAGAAACATTGTATTAACTCATTTGCAATTTATTTGCTGAATAAGAATAATTAATTTTGCATAGCTGAAACTTAGATAGTTAATAATGGATGCTGTACATTATAAATTTTATTGAACATTCAGTTACTCGTTATTTAATTTTGTCAACAAATACAAAATAGGTATTAAAAAAAAGTACTCAATACTATTTTGTATTGAATACTTTTTTTTTTTTTTTTTTTGACCAGAACTCTTCGTATATAGTAATATATCCTTTCAAAATGTTCATCAACAAACATTTCTTGATTTCATTTTAAAATGACTATAAAATACAAAAAAGAAACATTGTAGTAACTTATTTACTGAATTAAAATAGTAAATTTTGCATACATAAAACAATTAAGTCTAATGATGGGCATTATAAATTTTATCATGCATTCAGCTATTTGTTACTTAACTACATCAATAATAATTATGCATTGAGTATTTTTTCAAGACTATTAGTATATAGTTTGGTCTTCCAGCTTTAGATTAAGATTCAAGATCTAATTTAAAATAATCAATGCAAGAAATTAATATTTTTATTTCATTATAATAAAAGTACATTTCACAGATATTTTTTCAGATGGGACATTAACATAAAGAGAAATAGAGTACCCATTTGCAGGGCCAGGGTAAGTCTAGCATAATTGACAACTAATTAACAATTTTTAATTAATTCTAAGAATATGAGATGATCTGATAATAATTTTAATCATGAAGAAATTATGAGCTAAAGCATGAACAAGGTAAGTCAAAGTTCTGGAGGAACCATCTTTATTTTGTGAACTTTTACAAGAACTAGAGTTATAATGATAAGTGTAAAAACACTCTAAATTGTGTAGGAATATTATCATCATGGCTACCATTCTGTTTGAAATTTTAAATGGGAAATGAAGCATAAGCTATATGATGTTAAAATTTTCTCAAAAACATGAAGTTACTGTTGCATTTTTGATATTTTGATTCATTAAGATAATAATCACTTACGAAGTTGATGTAGTTAGTTAATGTATGTTACTTCTCCATTCCACTGATATCCAAGAATGAAATGAGATTATCTTCATGAGAGATGAAGCTTCATATTATAAAATTATCCTCATGTACAGTTTTGGTTTTGAAGTCTTTTTCACTTAATGTTGTTAATAATTAAACCTTACGGAGATGCTAGGTGTTGGTATGTAACCTATACGGATAGTTAAATCTGATGCTCATTTCCAAGCATATGTTGTAGTCAAGACTATTTTTGAACGTAGCTATAGATACAATGGCTATTCCTTCATGCTGCAGTTTCAGGCATCCACTATGGTGCCTGTCACACACTAATCCTATTTTATTGAATATCTTTATTTCTGTTTCTGAAATTAAGTAACTTGTTTACATAAATATTAGCTTGGGTAAAGGTTTTTATAGTCATCAGCAATAATATCAAAGCTTTCTCCACTACTTACAAGGTTAACATTTCATTTCTGGGTGGTTACTATTACAGTCAGTTACTTGGAATGAAGAAATAAAAATCAATTTTTTCTTCCTAGCACCTTATTTCCTAAATGAATCAGTGCCTACAAGCAGTAAAGTTATTGAACACTAATAGTTCAACCTAGATTTGATTCCAGATGAATGGAAGATGGGCCATTTCCCTTAGAATATTCTCCACAAAAGCATCTGTCCCCTTAGGCAGATAGCTCTCTTATGTTTTGCCATAATCAAATAATCAAGCCAAACCTATATGAGTAAAGTTATAAAAAAATAAGCTAACTGCGCTGTTATTGTTCTTGACAAAATTCTATTTTAAATTTAGGTACCACATGCTCTATTTCCCATTAAAAAATTTCGAACATGATTTAAGATGGCAATGAATGATACTCGCATTACTGAACATATGTTGCTGTCTTCCCATTACCCATGCCAAACATTTAGTTTTAATTCTTATATTGGACTATGATATAAAAGGTTGTTTCTAGACTTTGACTAGTGAAATAATATAATAATATAGGCCTTCTTTTAAGTATGATAAGTCATGAGATAGATTTTTTTTAAAGTATAACTTTCACAAACTGATAAATCAAATTTAGGAAGTTCAGTCCTGTTCTTTCTGGTATTTATCTGCATTGTTTTGGAAATTATTAAAAAAATATTGTTTCATTCTTATTTGCAAGGTTAAGCTATTTATTATGGTCAAGCATAGATTAGCTAACTTTCTTAAGATAGTTAGCTTTGTGAAAAATGTTCTAGTTCATTTTAGGATGATGCCTTTATATTTTTTGATGACATGAGTTATAATTTAACAAAAGTCTTCTCAATAAAATTTCGACCTTTGATAGTCTTGAAAGTAAACAAATTTAATTTCAGCCCTACAATTTATAGAACTTTTCCCCCTATTTCCTTTCTTTTGGGGGGAAGGGGTTATTATCATTTTAAGCCAATAAAATAAAAATTGCTTTCTCTGCTTTCATACTTTTTGTGCACTTAATATTTATTCTTTGTTTTTTCCCTTCAAAAATATAATTATTTAAGAATTATTAACAGCAGTTTCTCTTCTGTTATGAACAGTTTTCAAAAAATTTTCTTCATTCTGCAGATATTCCCCCCCCCCCACTTAAAACATAACAGTTTCATTTTTTTCATGAGTCATATCTTTTTTCTTTCATTTATTAGTAAAATGCCCAAAATTCTCCATTTAATTTCCATGAATTATATTTTTTCTTTTAACAAATAAATTATTTAATATCCATTAAAACCTAATGAACATTTGAATTCTAAGATTATTTATAACATCTGCAGTAGTTTTATTAATGCTTTAAAAATTTTGAGTGATTGCAAATAAATGGAAGTAGCCAAGAAGTGGCATTTCTTTAAAATACAGCTTTATAAATTTTACACAATATTTACACTTACAATCATATCATTTATTTGAGGCTTCTTAAGTAACAACATAACTTCAATTGTAGATAAAATTAGAAACCAATAAAATGCATCCGTGCCATAATACTATCTTTTTTGTTTTAACCACAAAAGACTGCTACAAAAATAAAATGGGTCATCTATGAAACTTACAAAGAAAATTTCATATCTGCCAATGCTTGTGCAGTGTGGTAAAATACACATTAATGTCAAACAACATTCAGAAATACACTGCTGGCCATTAAAATTGCAACATCATGAAGGAAAGCAAATACAAAAAAGATATTTATTGCACGTAAACAGTATGGCATGAAGACAAAATGATTAAATTTGTAAGCATTTTGATGGTTTACAGGGGGTAAAATTAGCTAAAACAGCTGCCACCCCTGGCAGCTAAAATGGCCCTTACCCCATTAGGCTTAGAGTCAAACTAGGCTTGGATGACAGAAAAGGGCAAATCAGTCAATGTTGCTTCAAGTCTATGCCACACTTCATTAACCATATTAGCTGGAAAGGAGTGGCAGGCCAGCCTGTCAGCAACCCATGACAAGGTTTTTCAATGGGTGACAAATCTGGAAACGTGCAGGCTAGGGCAGTAGTCGAATACCGTGTGTCTTGAGGAAGGTCAGAACATGACATGCAACATGTGGTCTTGCATTATTTTGTTGGAACATGGCCTTTGGGGGCATCAAGATAAGGCACAACTACTAGACGTAAGATGACGGAAATGTACCTGTGTTCAAATTACCGCCGATCCGAACTAGAGATGTGCATGTCATGTACTCAGCAGCTGCCCAAACCATCACACCAGGTGCAGGGCCCCCTATGCTAACATTGAATACAAGCAAAGGATGTGTCCTTTGCTTGTATGTCCTTGGACACTCCAGACACACATATGGCCATCAGAATACTGCACATAGAACCGGGACTCATTTGAAAAGGTGACACTGTATCACTCCTGCACCCAGCTTTGTCGTTTGGTGCACCAGAATCGTGTTCTCTTTCTATACTGCATCGTCAAGGCAAGCCAAATTAATGGCCACTCTGCTGTTAGTCCACGCTGCTGCAAACGTCGATGCAGCTTATGAGCTGATACTGGGCATGCTGCAAACATGCCCATTTCCTGACTAAATGTCTACAATGTGGTTGTAAGGTTTTGCAGGGCTGACCTCACAAAATGTCTGTCCTCTCTGATGTTAGTCATGGGAGAGCATTGAGATCCTGCATGTCATTCAATATAACCCTCAACAAGCCATCGATTCCGTATTCGCATGACAGTGGTTGGATGTCGACCAGTGCGATCCGTGAAATCACGAAATGATAATCTACACTTTCGATAGGCAACGATCCTGCCTCTAACTTGCTTGTAAGCATTTTCTCTTCTTATTCAAGGCATAATACATTATTCTGAGCAAACTCCAACCGTACAAAGCACTTTCTGAATGAGAAATCCACTACACAACATTTCTTTTATGCAGTGCTTCAGATGTCATTTCTCTCGACTGCATAGTCTAAATGTGCTGAAATACTAATCATTTGCATATCCCAACTTCTTCCTTCCATGTAATTTTGATGTTCGTCAGATCATTCCTTCCTGGTGTTGCAATTTTAATGGCCAGCAGTGTATTAAAAGAATCTGAAAGCAACAGATTGTAAGAACTACATAAACATGTGGTATGGAGTGTGGACATGTGGAAAATGCATAAACATGTGGGAAAATGCATTTGTGTAACTTATTTACTATAAATTAATAAGAAATATATTTAAAAATTGAATGTATTTTTAAGAGTATATAACATATACACTGGTCAAATATAAAGAGTTTTGAAATTTTAAGGAACACAAGTATTACATCTGAGTAACAATTCTGTTGCTAATCTTCATTGATCTGTATTCAATTCTTTCAGTTTTTCTTCCTCGGTGAAACTATACATACAAAAATCATCTTTAATTACATTTCTCTCAGACCTAATCTATCAACTTTAATTAATGATTTAAATGGCAATTTCTTAAAACATATTTAAAAAGCTTTAAATGTATCCATCTTTCAACAATAAGTAAGTATTAATAATATAGGGTGTAGAAAATAATGTTTTTTTGTTCATTAGGAAAATCTTTGTTGCATAGTATAATGAAAAATAAGGAAAATGATTTTTAAAACAGGTTTCTTGATGACTAGCTTGTATTTCCAATGTAAGCTGCAGCTCTAAAACCTACTTACTTGAGTAACTGTTTTGTTTCACTAGCTACTTCACTACAATATGGCAAAATTTAGGGAGGAAATTCAACTGCACTATTTTAGTCATTGACTAATTAATTATACGTGACGCATAAAATTATAGAAATTTTTTAGAATATACTTTTATGTGTATAAAATTCAAGGTCAATCAAATAGCTATTGAAACCTTGAAGATGTTTGTGTTGTTTTCAAATAAAAAATATATCTGTAAAATTGAAAAAAATACGTGAAGTAACAGAACTAATATATGAAGAAAGTTAGTACCTGAAATATATGATGGCAAAATGCACAAGAAATGAACACAATATTTGCAGGATTTGAAATAGCTGCACTTCTGCCTGTCTTCTGAGCAATATCTATCAGTGTTGCACTATAACAACAAAAAATAAATAGTTTTCTTAACAACAGTTTATTTTGTTAATTCACAATCTTGTTTTTGTAATAAAATTATTTATTTATTTTTAAATTAGATACCCACATAAAATTCTACAGTTATACAATTGCATTCTCTATGGTTTAGAAATGGAAATTAAAAAACTGATGGCGAAAAGGACTAAATTTAATATTATGATTTGGATGGAGAAAGTGATAGTATATACACTTTATAAGTAATTTGTGTTGTACTCATTAAATTAAATCATATGATTGTACGTGGTTAAGTAATAGCAACCACATTATTCTTTATTATTCAACCACATCTATTATTCTCATGAAATTAACTGTGTAGTTAATAAAATTAAATTAAGTGAATTTATTTTTATTTCAGACAACAAGCAATATTTTTTTATGCAAAAAGATACATTTAAAAATTTAATTGGATAAGAAAAATCTATTTAAACTTCTTAAATGTTAGAAACTCATTTATTTAAGCATTAAGATAGCATTTTTTAAGCAGAATTCATAGGAACCTCAATATTTCATGAGAGAAATATTAATTAATAGGCTGTCATATGCTCATATCTAAGTGTAAATCTAACCACATAAAATATTTGTCTAGGTATTTCCTAAGACATGTACTTCAGCAGTATTAAAAAAATAGCTTTTTGTGCACCTATACAAAGGTTTCGTATAGGGACACAACATTAAAAAAAATGAGGGACACAACATAAAGATTTCTATAATTACATATAAGTGCAGATTCAAGTTAAAATGTTTGGTTCTATATCTAGAGTGTTTTTGAATATATATCGAAGACTATGCAATACTAAAAAATAAAGCCCTAAATATATGTTGCATTTTTTACTTCATATTCAACATAGATTAAAAGATATTCAGTTAAGAGTAATAGGAAAAGTAAGTTTGAACTAGAGACTACAAAATTATATGAGGGTAGCATTATTGCATTTCAAAATCATATAATAGGAACAATGAAGAATAATATAATTTTCAGTTATATGTAGTAGAAAATATTTTAATTATTATTGTTATTTCTGTAATAAATTAATGCTTTTTCACTTATTATATAATTTATTTTGCCATTAAAAGGGTTAATTTTTTAGTTTTCTATATAATGTTCCATACTACTGCTATCTTATCAGTAATATTGATTGCACTTACTTAATTGTGAAATTTATGAAAAGTTATCCATGAATTGGATTATTTAGTTAGAGAACTATTATTAGTTACAGTGAATATTTGTCATATTAAATTTTTTATCAAGAGAACCCACTCGAAAGACTGAAATTTGAAGTTTTGCATTCCTCTTTCACCACTGCTAATCTGTCAAAAGGAATTTCAGCAAAGAGAATATACCGCCACTAACATGCATGTCTTATCTGTAAAGTGAACTCAAGCCTAGAGAGCCTATATTAATCATTATATTATCTGGCATTGTTTGTTCCCAAGTTAAATTCGCTAGCCATAAATACAAATATTGTGTCTTATGCCACTAATGATTGTGAAATATTCAGAACTGACTTTAATTATGAAAATAATGGGTTAAACAAAGTTATGGAATTTTTTAAATTCTAAATCAAATAAATTCATACCAGTTAGGTCTAGGGCACATTATTGTACGAGCTGAAGTTTTGCACACTAATAAGCAATTGCAAACGCATCTCACAAACATTTTATCTCCAGGAGGCTTTCTAATTGGCTAAAAGCATAGAATCATTAATTAAAGAGTATAAACTACTGTAAGCAATGAAAATTAATACTTTATCAATAATTATCAATGGATGTTCAAATAAGTCATTTAATGAGTAAATATAAAATATTACAATCACATTAATTATCTGATATTTAGCAAATAATCAGAAGTCAAGGCTACATTTCAGTTTCATAAAATTTCTAGATTATAATATGAAGAAGTAATATTTAAAATTGCAAAAACTCATTTTGGCAACCACATTTCCAAACCAAATGTTTTTGTACTTTACTTCTATGTGTTTCACTTGTTTAATTTGCATAAATAACATTTTTAGGAGGTATTTCTCTGGTATTATGTTGTTAATTCTCTCTTTTCCAAACAATCAAATATTGATTCTTATTACATTATAATTTCAGAACTCGCTTTTGTTTAGGCTGCTATCAAAATTCATATTTATAAATAATGAAAACTACAACAAATTAGCTTAATCTATGTCCCAGTCTCTGACCCTCTCCACCTCAAATATATATTTGAGCAATCAGGACATTCCTTCCTTTATTTCAATAAAATTCCAGTTCAATGACATTCAGATTTCTGTTATCCACAAGAAGTTTAGTAGCTAGTAAAATCCAACCTTTCAATAATATCACTTTCAAAATAAAAGGATTACTGCATCACAAGAGATAACACTGTCTCCTTCCTTTGATAGAAAATTATTTTACCCAGTACAGTGAAATGAAGTTTTGAGGATGTTCAAAGAGAGTTTCACCAATATGCACTCACACATGATAATAATTCACTGCCATAGAAGGAAGATCATATCATTATCACTTAAAATGCACTCAGCCATTTTCATTTGGAGCCAAAGGTTTAAACTTTCCATTTAATAACAGTTTTGTTGAAATCTAGGCAAATTCAGTCTTGGACTGATATTACACTTGCTTTCTTTTGTATATGAAGTCTTCCAAAAAAGATATACTTGGATCATTTCAACCCTTGAAAGATGCAATGACTTAAAAAAAATAAATAGATAAAACAAACAGTGAAATCTGAATTTCATTATATTTCTAAAGCTGTAAAATTTAGCTTTACCTTTGATACATGTGCTTCTTTCACTATTCTGCATTTACACATATCACATTTCATATCTGCAATAGCAATTTTCTGCCTGGTGATGGATGTAATAAAACCATTATTGGCCCTGATAGTTGATGTCAAACTTTGATTTTATTTATTTAATATCTCAGATTATTTCATTAATTAACTTTGTTGGCAATGCAAGGTATATTCTATCGTTTTTGCTCCTCAGTTGGCTAAAACACTTATAGAGCTCTTTGTTATAACATAGGTACTAGGATTGGGACCAGAATTAAACTTCCAGCAGGGAAAAAAAATGAGTATTTACATAGTATACAAAAAATTATGTACATGTGTTTTAATAGCAAACTTCAAATACATTTTTAATGCATTTCAGTCAAAAATTATGAAAATTAAAAAGCATAAAATATAATACATTAAAAAAATTAATAAGTGTACTTCATTTCATGTGTATATGCACGTACATGCATATATGTAATCAGAGTCACATTATGTAAGTTACCTGACATGTAGTATATAAGCATGTGTCTTTCATAACACTAGTACTTAATTTACTCTGAAATTTACAGTTTTCATTTTAATAATTTTCTGTAAATTTAACTGAAACAATTATATGACAACACATAGCAAACAGTTTTCTATTGATAGACATATCTGCCAATTATAGTACTACTCATGCTTCTTTTTTGTTCTTATTTACACGAATTCATGTGCATAAACCAGAATATAGAAAACAATGTATTTGATTATATCATAGCTGACACTATTGCCAACCATTAAATTAAATGTCTTGTCTCTTATAACAATAAATCATATTTTTAAAGAAAGTATACGGTTATTAGGAAAATTTTTAAAGTGTGTTATTCTATTTTAGTTCTTTGTTTATAGAAATAATGTACCCGTTTCTCATTTTTAAAAAAACATTCACAACAAATGTCTTAATAATAGAAATGCAGCATTTAAAATTTTGTTTGTGTATAATCTTTAAACTCACCCAGACCCAGGTTTCTTTATAAAGTGTTGCACTGTAAGTGACTAAAAACATTATTTTGAGATCATGTTTATTCTTTACATATTTTGTACCAATAAAACCATGATTATCAAGAAATATAGTTTTACTACGGAAAAATTAGTCATTTTAAAAATTCTAATAGTGTAAAGTATGTATTCTACAAAATAATTCTAATAGTGCACAGTACATATTCTAAAAAATACTCGAAACTTCTCCGCATAGTTAATTCTAAAAAAGAATTTATAAAAATTAATTCTTCTTGATAAGTGAAGAATCTATTTTGTTGCTAAATGTGTTATTTAGGAGTGCATTATTTATATGAGGTTTAAAAAAACATCTGCATAATAGCTAAAATTGTGGTGTATCATAAGTGTGAAGCACTAAAATTAAAATTTGCTTCGATTTATTATTAATTTCAACAGATTTATTTAAGAGTAAATAGCGATGTGAAGGATTTAAGAGTAACTAGTACTCCTAAATCCTTTGTATACCTTTTATTTAAGAGTAAATTAAATTAAATTTATATTTAAGAGTAAATTAAATTAAATTTACATTTAAGAGTAAATAGTGATTTGGTACCTTTTATTTTAGTTTCAATACTCTTATAATCCAATTTTGATAAAGTAAATGATACATGACATTTTTAGTAAATTATTTGCATTATTGTCTCTTAACTTAGATAACAGACAACTTAATATATTTGATAAAATAAAGCAACAGTACTTTTTTTCTATTCTTAAATAATAATAATAATTATAATAAATCAAAACTACTTTTACTTTATAACTGAGAACTTTATAAAACAGAAAACTCTGCTGTTAAAATATAAGCCATTCTTCTATTGATTTTTAAACATTAATTATTATTAATGACATAATTTGAATTACAAAAAAAAGCATATAATGTTTAAACATACTGTTGCTTCGTTACATGCTGGGCACATGATTATAATTTTCTTTTCTTTTCCATGAACATTAATGTAATATTTACATGTCATGCATTTAACTCCATCATATGAATGCCCAGGGGTTCGTTTTAAGATGGTCGGAATGTCTTCACTGGTGTATGGAAAGACTTGAGCTCTTTTAACTTCAGCTAAAAAGTATCATTCATTTTTTATTCAATTTTCAAAAGCATTTAATCAGCAATTCAATTGGAAAGCATAATGAATAGTTCTATAAATTGTATGCACCATTTAACCCTTTGATGGTCATGAACGAGTTCAGCTCCCATTTATGCACTGCAATGGGCACAAACAACTAGTTCACATTACATAATTGTGACTAACAGATATCCTGCATATTTGAAAGAAAGAATTGCTTAATCTCACAACCACCAAAGGGTTAATATCAAAATCTGTGCTTAAAAAGAATGGTTCAAGTGATGTCATTGTAAAGAAATAAATGATCATCACTAAAGCTGTGCTATATCTAAATAGAATATGCTCAGGCTATTACCAATGGAGTTTGCTTGATTTATATTTTAACATTTATTTTACTAAATTTGGCATTTCATTGATTTTATGATTATTTTATTTTTTATTTTATCCAAATGGCGGGTATATCCTTTATTCAGCATTGGCCACTCCTTAGGCCAGAAGTGGTGGCCATTTTATTATGGAAGCACCTAATAGGTGGCCACTGTTGCCTTCTATGAAGGGACGGACAGTTGTCTTCTCTGGGATTCAAACCCAGCTCTTCAGTACCACAGTAGACTTCCCTAACCACTATATACCATCTGGGCAGCTTCATTCTATTATATGATATAAAAGTTCATCAGAAAATACAGTTTTCAAACTTTACTGAATTACAAATTTTTATTTTGAATACAGTGACTATTCACATAAGAAACATGGCCCCTGTATTAAGAGCAAAAATCATATATAATATGAAACGTCATACTATGATAAAATGATTAAAAATATAGTTTGGAATGATTATACACAATTTCCAAATCTTCAGTTATTGTCACTTACACACAGCTTTATTGCATGTATTTTAATATACATGCCTTTAAATGCTTTTAAGCTGAAAGTAATTATTAATTTTTGAAAATGAGAAAGGAGTTTTATAGTAATTGTGGGGACTGACATTGCCTTAGACTAAATGAGACTAAATGGTTAAAGCCAACAATAGTCACATCCTTTGTTGAATGCATCTCTCTTCCCCTATAAAATTGAATACATAATATTCAAAGTCAGATCTAACAGATAAAGTCTCCAGCCTGCAAAAAATAAATCAAATGCAATACACATTTAACCAGAATGAGCTGTTCACTATAAATGTGATAAACTGATGTGTCCATTTGCATTAAAAAAAAAAAAAAAAAAATGGGGGGGGGGGGGGAACAACTTGCTGGTATTTCCACTCCCAGTTAAACACTTGAAAGTTGATAATATAAACCTGAATATTTGTAGTTGAAGCATCCAATCAAAAAAAAATTATATCTTATGAAACATAATGAACTATTAACCATAATTTTATGAATTTGTGTAGAATGAAACATGACACTATAACACATAAATACAAAGGAAAAAATTTAAGAACATTAGCTATGATATTATACTGTAGAACGAAACAACAAAAATGATAATAATATTTACAATGAGAGTTCTGAAAAAAATTAAGGCTTATCAATTTAATATGGAATGTAAATTCTCCAGACTTGTATACACAAAGTGTTCTCGTGCTGGCAATAACATTATTAACCACAGTCTGGGAAATTAAGTTCCACGCATTCAGAAATGCAGTCTTTAGAGCATGTACATCTCTAGTAGTAGGATGTCTCCTTGTAACTGCTTTTCCAAAGTAGCCCCATAAGTTCTCTATCAAGAAATTTTGCTGCTACTGTTCACTCTATGTTTTCACTTCAAGGAATTTGTCAATGAAGTTTGCTCAATGCAGATGAGCATTATGGTCCATAAATAAAAAGTGAGATCCATATGCATCCCTGTAAAGTCGTACATAAGATTCTAAGATATCATTCTGATATATGTAACTGCTCACAGAAACGTGTAGGGAAGCACGTTCATTGATCATTATTCCTTCCCATACTATCACACATGCGTTTCAGTCATGTTCTATATTGTTCAAAGAAAAATTTCATGTTCCTGACCCTCTCCAGACATAAACACATTTAGAATCAAACTAAACTTCGACTCATCAATGAAACATACACCCTTGGCTTTTTGGCATAAAGGCCATTTTCATTAATTCTTCTGTATACAGTTTGCCATGATACATCAGTTCCACTGTAAACTTTGAAGTTGACTCATGAGCAGTAGATTTCCTGTTAAGACAGACAGTTATTACCAGATATTGATATTGAGAAACAGTTTTATTCATTTATGATATTGTCCAGGCCTCTTTACAAGAGACTGAAATTATTTTGAAATCCAAAGTTCTGAAAATATTTCCACAATGTAGAGACGGTCTTGAAATATTCAATCTGTCACTGCTTCCATGATTGCCTGACCTACTTCTAAATGATGGATAGTTCACCACTTCGCAGATTATTCCAAATGGCACTTTAGGCACATAACAAACTAGTCTGAGTCCTTACACTGAAATCAAATGCTGTATTGCAGAAATTTGCTCAGATATTCACTTTACACAGAGCTTGATTCACCGTTAAATAACATAACACCTCAATTTGTATATCAGAAACCATTTGATCACTTTGGATTGGATAATGCTATAATTAGTCTTGTCTTTCACACATTCCCTGAAAAAATGGATTACATTGAATGGCTATTTTATGGAATGTCATTATTTTTGCGGGTGTAAAGATAAATTTAAACATGACTGTATATCACTTCAAAATCTCCTGTATAGAGATATTACAGCTTGTAAATGCTAGGTATTATAGTGCAGGAATTGGTAACACTTATTATTTTGATGAAATGTGATTTTTTCCCCATAGTTAACATTAAAACATCTACTTTCAAGCATTCAAAAATTAATAATGATGGTTTTTGAGTAAATATCACTCTGAAACTGGAATAAAAATAAAATCCTGAAATTCCTTAAGAACATACAGTTTTCAGAAAATTCGTAAAATAATGAAAAGTTAAATGAAATAACTTCTTAAAATGAAAATTTACTTTTAAATGGAAAAATAAGAAAAAACATTAAAAAAGTATTGAAAACTTTCTTATAAAAATAATTTTTACTGAGAATATATAGTTTTTACTAGTGAAGAAAAGAAGCATTAGAAAGAATTTGAAATTTTATATCCTTCAATTCTCTTCAGTTAAAATTCTACTTTAATGCAATTATTCTCGCTCTTTCAGTACAAAAATATATAAACATAAATATGTGCCAGAGCTCAAACACATGATAATTTTATACTTACTCATTTCATATAAAAATTATGAAGATCACATATCTTGTCTCAGTTTCTCTATAAATAACATCTCTAATTCATCTTCCCATCTATTGTAAATTAAAAGAAATATCAGTTTTCATACACATACGTAACCATGTGAAAGATAAATATATTAATTTAAATTCTGCCAAAATATTACCTCAGATTGATATTACGTAAAAAAACTCTATTTCAATTACAACTGATACAGGTCCTCTGCTTCAAGAAGAACAATTTACAGAATATTTGGTACTCAAACATTATCTTGACTGTCCAGCTGTAAACTAAGAACTTAACATGAACTATATAAGTGATTTTGCATTGATTCAATGCATGCTTAAATTTCATTGTAAAACAGAAAATGTATGCATAAATTTGGAGCATGAAAGAAAATAGTATATAGTATAACTAATTTTTGTGGTTAAGTTCAGTATATAATTTTTCCTTAAATAATTTTCATTTGCACTCTGATTTTTCATATCCTTAGTTGTTATTATTGTGATTAAAAATTTTGGTTGCAGTAATACCGCTAAAATCTAATAGCTACACACATATACATATGTATGTACGTATATACATGCATACATACATTTCTGGACTTGATCACAGAACAGTATCTTTTATTTTACTTTGAAAAAAAAGAAAGAATTTTGAAAAAGAAATCTTGGCCTACAGAGTTTATGTGGTCTGAGTGAAACAGTTTGTAAATATGTATATGTACACACACCACATATATATGTGTGTGTGTGATAAAAGGACTTTACAGTATTGATGGTGTAGAATACAGAATGTTAAAGCTGTAATTAAGAGCAAGCAGATTAAATCTTATTTCAGTAAACAGGGTGCAGCCACTAACAACTTGACACTTGATTTTTCATGTTCTTTCATACAGATGGTTTCATGCTGTGATTTCATTTTTTCTTCAAAGTTCTTCTTAGGATTCCTTTTTACACTTAACATTGAATTTATGTGTATTCAGCTTTTTCTTTCACTTTGAAATTGATTATATACATATATATTAGACACACACATACATAAATGCATTTTAACATAAAAGTACATTATAAATTGAAACTTGTAAAATCCAAACTTAAGAATATGAATACTTCTAAATTAAAAGAGATAAGAATTTAAATATATAAGAGATAAAACTGCACATTAAAAAAAAAGCGTTTAAGGCAATAATAATTTTGCTTTGCTAAGCACAGTAGTTTAAGCCTTTTAAAATTATTTGTCAGGTGTTATAATCAAGTCATATCTACTGGTAGTCTTAATTTTTAAATTATTTCATAAAACTTCCTCTAAAAAAAAAAAAAAAAAAAAAAAAAAAAAAAAGCATTTTAGAAAAACACAGAAGCTCTCTTCTTAAAATGAAAATTTATATATGCCACTAATAAGCAGGAATCTATCATAAACAGAATATGTAAGCTACATAAAACATTAAATTTTAAGCAACTACAGATACAGAAAATAACGTAGAAATAACTCTTTAAATAGCTGAATGTACACATACATTTGTGATGAAATTCTAGATCTGATATATGATGATGCTGGAGCTGTCACGTAAAAGTTGAGAAGTTGATTGACACTGTTTCTTATTTTTGGCCCAGCATTATGAACATACATCAAGAGATGAGCTAATTTATTCTATTACTATAAATGTATTTTTTCAAATAGTATTAACATCAATACAGTTGAAGGGAAAGAAACAGCAGTTTACATTATAGCTGAACAAAAGTATGCATGAGATGACAAGGATTATGTTATTAAGTTAAGAATATTAAAGTTATATTCCTCAGCAGAAATAGAATCATTAACCAAAATGAAAATATTTTTATGAATGTGAAATACATCCATAAAGTCCAAATATTTTATGGAGGTGATCCACATCCATAAAAATCTCTCAGATCTGGTTAATGGTAGAATTTTTAATACTTTTTTTTATCATCAGCTTTTCAAGAATTTGTTTCTCAAGGTAAACAAATGGCACTAGGAGCTTAATTTTTTATCATTAAGTATCTGTATCAGTGGTCGGCAAACTCATTACTCAATAAAACCAATTATCAACAGATCAACAATTGAAATCTCTATTGAGAGCCACATTTGTTTAAACTTAAATTATATAGGTAGGTATATTGTTATTGACTTAATTAGGGTACTCTTACACTGGCATTTATTAAGAATGTCCTCAATCTGATAAATGCACGTACCCTGAGGTTGATCCTTTTCCAACTCACATTTGTCTTGTATACTCATTTTGTGTAGCTTCTTTCGTTCATCCCTCTATATATCCAAACCATCTTTTAACATACCTTTCTCAACACTACATCTTTTTTCACTCCATAACACTCTAAAATTAACTTAATACTTGAGTTTTTAAGTCTTAGCTATGTAGGTATTTCGAATAAAACTTTATCACATTAAACAATGGTACTATTTATTGATAAAATAAAGCTATAAGGTATCCCAAAACTTAAATCATAATATTGACAAATAAACAGTAATGCAAACAATGGCCTTGCATCTCCTTGGAAAGTTAACTCGTGTTCATATGTTGTTGCTTTTAATTTTAAGCATGATTACAAGTTCTTATCAATAAGCCAACTTCTCAATTTAGACTTGATAAGGTTCATGCTTGAAAATGATTTTTGCATGAATATGTAGATCCAAATAAGGAATGAACAGCAAATGTTAGTTTTTTCAGCTGATTATATGAGTCATGAATACTTTTCCATGAATTAAAAATCAACATATCTTCCTTCTCTGGATCTTTCAAAGCAGACCCCTTGTGTTGTGAAACAAAGCTCACATTTGTTTTTCTCTAGTGTTTCTATATGAGAGCTAAAATGTTCAAATTTCGAGTTCCATAATGGTTTGTTTTTCAAATCCATAAATTGGACTTCAAAGTTGCCAGTATCAATATTAAAGGGAGTAAAATTTAATTCTGTTAGAGTAGTATTAAGAGGTTTTATTTATTTATTATTTTTTTTTTTTAACAAAGGCTAATGTGGCTTTGCTGTTTTTCAATTTCCAAGACCTTCTCTGAAAAACTTCTCTCATATTTAAAACTGTTGTTTTGAAATAGCAAATGTCAATATCAGAATTATTTTCTTGGTAATGTTTCAACATGCTTGAAACATGAATCAAAATTTCTCTTTCAAAATCTTGAGCAAAAAGAGATAATTTGTTTTCAAATGAAATAATTTCTTTGAACATCGAAAAAATTGCGTTTCCTTTTCCCTGTAGTTTTTGATGAGATGTAATGTCTAGCATGAAATAAAATTTTTGGATCCACTGATCATTCGTTAGTTCTGGATAATAAAAATAAACACCCTTTTCAAGGAGAAATGGTTTAATTTCTGTTAATAAAGATACAAAATGTTTCAAAATATTTCCTTTTGATAACCAATATACTTTGATATGCAGCAGAAGATCTGTATACTCCTTCTCCATTTCATCTAAAAATTCTTTAAACTGGATATGATTAAGAGCTTGAACTACAGTGAAATTGATAATCACCAATTCTATAACTTCGCAAATTTCTTCTGGAAATATCTGCACACAAAGTGCTTTTTGATGAATGATTCAATGGTAAGTAAGTATCTCATTTCAGTAATAGCCCATTTATCAATACATCAGTAAAAATCTTACTAGAATCAGTACAATGGCAATTTTAACTTGATGCACCAAATAACGTAAACATAAAATTTCATGTCAAAATATCTGGGCTTTTAGTTTTTAGACATTTAATATTTGAAGTTTTATCCACATTATATACAACCCCAACATCGTCTATGTATTTCATGTTGCCTAAATGCAGTTGCTAAGAAAATTTCTGTTTCAGACATTGGAAAAAATTTCATATTTGAAAAACTAAAAAAACATTTTAAAAAACTAAAAATCATATTTTGAAACTAAACTTCATTTTTACAATATTTAGTTTCTTATATAAGTTAAAAACGCCACTGAATGGTATATTAATTAAAAACATTGCATTAGTTAAAATTTGGCATATGACAATTACTACGACAGCACAAGATGTACAATCAAAATGCCAGAACTGGTACAAACAAATTTTCCTAGGAATAGCACTGGCGGATACAGTTTCAGTTGTTTTCATGCTCCTGTAAAATTTCACAGCCTCTGTGCTGTATTTTCAAGATTTCTTACTTTTACGTGAGTGCGCCTACATGTGGTATTCTGTAGAAGAGTCATACTCAGGAGCTAAAGAGCCACGGTTTGCCGACGAGTTAGGCCATTCTTGAGTTTCTCTTTGTTCTCATCTAAGCATATTTTTTTAATTAATTAATTAATTTTGCTATTTTAAACTTTTCAGTTACAACCACCACTTCACTTTACACTGCCAAGTAATGTAAATGGTGCAAAACAGAGTACTATCTAACATCATATTGTAAAGCAAAGTCAATACCAATCTGTTTTTTATGACTAAAATACTATTTTTGGATCATGATTTAAACAAGCATTTTCTTGTTATAGATATATTTTAACTGTTTTAGACCTGTTCCATAAAATTATCAAAGCATAATCATGAAAATCTGAGATGCAAGAAGTATATAATAAGATACTAGTTCGGTATGAAAAATCATACATCAATGTGCTAACAGAAAAGTTATAAAAAACAAGAGATCCAAACTTAACTGTTGAGATCAATGGAAGTTAGTTTACCCCCCAAAAGAATAATATGGGCTACTTTTGGCAGTATTAGATGAGAAATGAACATGATGCTTTTGAAAACAGAGCATGATCAAAATGTAGTTACTCGTAATGCTGTTGAAGTATTAATATTTTAAGATTGAAGGCAAGCATGCTTTGAATTTTGAACATTTCAAATTAACTCATAAGTATAACTTTATTGATTCCGAACGAAACTCATATTAAAAAAAGCTGAGGCCTGGCAAAATGGAGAAATAAAAAACAAGGACAGCTGGCAATATCTAAAGAGCTATCTCATATAAATCATGTGCAGACAAAGAGTTTAATCTGGGTACAGACAAAACTCTTTTAATGAAATTTTACTTGTTATAAAAAAATTTCTGAGCTCCTAAAATAAACATTTTTCTACAGCATAGACTAAAATTTTATACACATTGTAAATTGTAATGTTACAACTGTAATATAATGCTAATGGGCAATGTAATAATTACAAAAGGCAGAAGGCAAACGTAATAATTAAAAAAAATTTCCCTTTATTTTTCTTATTTGCTTTATGTCTTAGAATCATTTTCATAGCCAAATTTAAAAAATCTGTTTTGTTATCAAATCTTTTAATATAATTTATTTCTGCTTTTAAAATCTTTTGCCTTTATTTTGTGTATTTGTCCAGAAATATTTAATTAATTTGTTTTATAATCACCATTAAATCTATTGCTATTCTTTCACTTTGCTTTGTTATAGCATGCACTTTTTTTTAGTATGATATTTGTAACTAAATACTTATGGGTGCATAAAATCCGAGATTGTGATGAACCGAAGGGAAGAGAGATCAACCCAAAAGTACCATAAATACAAAAGGCACTTTCCTATTCATAGCATCATTTAAGAAGAGTTTTGGAATGAAATTATGAATTTTTGAGTAATTTTATAGCCATTCAAAAGAATGACATTAAAATCTAATTCAAGTTTCCACTATGACCAACAACTGTATTCAACTTTTGAACAGGAAATCATGAGTTCAAACAAGCAAACAAACACTTCAATTACCTGTATTAGCAACATTAAAATCTACATGATTTACAGTGATCGGTTTAATACAATTTGGACATAAAATAAAAAATTCAGTGTAACATGTAACCGTCTGAAATATAAAGTCTCGCAAACTCTAATTTAGTAACTATGATACATATTAAGGTATGTGTTATATTGAGAATTATTTCGTTGAAACATACAAACCACTGAAATTAAATTTATTTTTGGAATTTGTTATTTTCTATATGCATATAAAAAGCAAATTCCTTGTAGAGTAAATGATAAACACTTACGGATACAAAATCGATTTAGCACTTTTATAAACAATGGCTACCAGATCAACATAAAGTGCTGTTACTACTGGGAATGTAAAGGGTTAAGTTTTAAATAATATAATATGTAACACTATATCTAGCTATGATCTTCACGCATGATAAAAATATATAAAAATAATTTTATTGCAAAGTTTCTAAATATTTTTGTACACCAAGCTTTGAAGTATATATACAATCAGGTACACCAGCACCTTCGTATGAGGCACCCAAAACAGTAAGGCACAAATCGTGCTTCTTTATGTCATTATCGATTGCAATAAGCTTCTTGTAATGACCAACAACATATTGAGGTATACAATTCCGTTGAATAATAACTTTATGTCTCACTGGTAACTGACTTATACCTAGATGCTTCTGAACTTCTTTTAATGCAATACTTAATATAAGTTCCTCTGATACTGTTTCTGGATCACCAAGAATATCTCTGAACCATCTACCACCCATCATACATGTCAAGCGAGTCTTACTTTTACCATTCAATTCAGGAAAGAGACAAGAATCAAAAACTACTCCAAGAACTTTAGAGTCTTCAAATGATGGTGATAAAAATCCAAAACCATTTTTTTTCAACACATTATTTTCAAACTCAAAATATACAACAGCTACATCAACTGAAGAAATCGACATTAATGTCTCAGCCAATGATGAATACTGGTGCAGCAATTTTGACAATTGATCAGCAGGAATGCAGGAAAACACATGATCTACTTCAATTTTTTCATTTTCAACTTCCAGTAATGCTTTATTATCTTTAAATGTCAATTTGGAACATTCAGCATTGAAGAGAATGTCACCACCACGTTCTTCAATAGTGCAAGCTAAAGCATCAATTATCTCTGACAAACCTGTTTTAAATGTCCAGCTTCTCCACATTTCACTACATGACTTCTTTACCAAATCACTATACATATATTCAAACATTGGCTGGTCATGCCGACTTTTTAACAAACTTTTAATGAACGAACCATGCTGCTGTTCGCCTTCATACAAAGATGGAAACATTGAACGTACACTTAATTCCCGAGCATCACCAGCTGCAATACCTCGGCACAAGGGATCAGAAACAAAATCTGCGATTTCTTTACCAACTCTACGATCAACGAAGCTATATACAGATTCATCATCTATTTCAGATTTTTTAGTCCACAGTTCTTTCAATCCATATAGAAGAAAGGTTTTCGGAAAAGGAGGCGTTTTAGCCAGCATTGACTTAAAATCTCTTGGAAGAGGGTAAAGTTCATTGTTTGCCAGAATATAATTAGTTTTTGCAAGAGAATGGTTCTTTGTTACTGGTAAAACTCGAGATGCCAAGTTCAGTTCTTCAGCCAATGCTATGGTATTATATCCTGCTTTAGATCCTACACGGATTGTTCTAGGTCCATGTTCAAACACAGCTCCATCAGGAAACCGAGTTGTTTGAATCCAACCACCGAATTTCATGTTTTTTTCTAAAAGAAACATGTACCGTATTTTCCGATGGCCCAATGTTTTTAAATAGTAAGCGCATGATAATCCACTTATTCCACCTCCTATAATTGCAACTGTAGCCATGATATAAAAAAGAAGTATATTATTTAAACAAAATAAGAAAGTTAACGAAAATTTAATTTGGTATTAAGTGGTTATGAAAACGTTAATAAAAATAAAACAGCAAAGGAGAATTCGAATAATAAAAATAAGCTTGTTTTGCATCAGTGAAGTCTTTGGGCCCAAAGGGCAGGATTTTGAGACGTAATTTTTGAATTGATAGGGCTAGGTAATTACTTCAAAATGTTAATCTATGATTTGAATTTACGGCTTTAGGCGTTGACTTTTACATTACAACTATTCGCTCCTTGATATGGCGATAAATAAAGCTAGCTATTCAAGATGGGCATCTTGACATGTGCCGCCATCTTCAAGTTCGAGGTGATTGAAAAAGATGTGCGTATGTGGGGATGGGGATATCTTAGGTATGCAAACTCGTGGCATTTGATACATTTTCTGCTGCCCACGCCTTTCCCTGAAAGAATAACAACAGCATATAATGTTAGTAAATCTGGAATTCCATTCCATATCGAGGGGTATATACAGCCTCTAGTGCTATAAAAGACTCTTCAGATGATTTCTTTCTAAAAGTATTTTCTCAACCAGTACCAGATTATGAATAAACAAATATTCAGTGTGACTTAAAAAAAATTTCATTGAATTGTGTGTTCCCAAATTTTACAAATGCCAGCCTGCATGTTACCCAGAAAGCTGCAAATACCTCTCTTAGTGATTTCCATGGTAAATAGTAAGTATCAATGTGAATACCTTTTTTCACATGTAAAGGGACACATTTCCAATGATATCTAAGTTAACACGACTTCTAAAAATCGTTAGAAGGAGCAGCATGTCTCCAGACACTTGGAAGCTAGTTGCAGAATGACAGGTATTGAGGGGGGGGAATAGGTATCCATCTACAACCAGGATTTCCATTCTTATTTCATGATAATATTCCTTCTATTTTTTTAAGAACTGCAGTATTAGGCAGTGGCGTAGTTAGGGTGGGACAAGGGGGACATCTGTCCCCGGGCGCAGCATCCATGGAGTGCCAAAAAGATGTTACAAAATTTTAGAATGAAATTTTTTCATTCTTGGCATACAGAAGGGGCACAAAATGTTCAGTTGTTCCTGGGTTCTGAAAATCCTAGCTATGGCTTTGGTATTAAATAAGATTTTATACATTTATTTACTTTTTAAATACATTATGTATAAAAAATTGCAGTTTTGTCTTGCGGTCTGCACTACTGTAAAATATTTACTCCATTTGACGTACCGAGTTTGACATCCCTGCCTTAGTGGAATGAACAAATAAGACTAAATATTTTTATAACATACGACAGATCTTAAAACAGATGGAATACAAACTTGTGCTAATCTATAATGATGGGTAGGAATATTGAGAATGAATGTATATATAAATGAGGTGGAACACAAAATCCATGCATGCTTTGCCAAGTGTTTGAAAACTTCAAGGAGGCTGAGTCACCCATTGGTATCATGTTCGTATTACTCTCTATATTCGAACAAACTTTTAGTACAAATGAATTTATATATGAAAATTAATTCTAGTTTTCGTGTTCGTCTCACTACACAAGGTACTTATTTTGAATTTTTAGTATAATTTTCGATTTAGCCATTTCTGTGTATTTTGGTGTACTTTTCTTTGCTTGGTATTTTTTGCTCTTCGATTCTATTTCGTAATGTAGGTTATTATGTATCAGTGAAGTTTCATTCTAACCTTTTACCAGTTAAATTCCCTATAATTTTCCACGTCTGCTACATCATCCATTACCCGAGGGGTTGCCTTTTTATAACAAGGAAGATTTGAAATGCTTTGCTCTGTGATTATAACCTTCGGACATGTTGCTTTCGATGAGAGTTGGATCTCCGAATCCGAGTACTCCTGTGATGCACCACTATTATCCCACAGATGCTTCAAAACTCATTATGCAATAAGGTGTAATACAATATTCTTAGAGGTAGTACGATTCTAATGAAATTTGTCTTAAGGGAGTTTAAATTATATTCACTGCAAATAAAACTTGATAATAGTTTTGCCTGGAATAAGAGCGAAGAGCTACTTCTCCAGCTCCACAATTTCTGGTTCAACTCCGGAAGTGAAAAAGAATCCTCAGCGGCCGTATTTCTCCCGCTGTGATTGTAAATCCTTTCCTTTTTTTAAATTTTGGAGTATGGGATCTTGTGCTTATGGACATACGAATAGAATAGCTAAAAATGATTCTTTTCAAGCTTAAGTATAACTTTTTCCATATAAATTGGTAAACATAATGAGAAATGTCACCGTCTCATTTATTTTTCATTCCAGATGTAAAAAGGGACTTTAAGGTAAGCAAATTATATTAAATACATTTTCCTGTTTTTGTTTCTAACTGCTATCCTTGTTCTTAACATACAATGATACATACTCATGTATACCTTGTTATGAAGGTTTATGTATTGTGAAGCCCCAACCGACAAAGCCATGGGTTCGAAAATATTGGTTCTTAAACTAACAAGGCAACCTTCTGATATACAGCTTTTATACACCGAAATCAAACGTTGTATTGCAGAAATTCTCCTAGATATTCACTTTACGCAAAGCTCTTGATTTACCGTTAGACGACGTAAAGCCTTGATTTGCATATAAAAAATTTATCACTTTTGAATGGATAATACTATAGGAAACCCTTATAAACACGAATCCCAAGGACCGAAAAATCAAAAGTTCGTGTTAAAAAATTCTTGTTAACTGGGGATTCAAATTTTATTTTTGGAATAGTCTTTTCAGCATATTAATCATTCTCAGCGCGTAGGCATAATATGTACTACAGTAAATTACGTATGTCGTCATAGAAAAACACTACATTACTACACGAATTTCTGTATTGTAACTTGAAAAAGGTGTATTCAAAGATCTTTTTCTGGTGAAAAATTCCTGTATCTTGCGTTATCGCAGAGGAAACGAAAATGCCAGATAACTTCATCACCAACTGTACTCCCGACTTCCGTAAAAGTAGCGGTCCGTTCGAATGTTGCAGCAAATCTTTCATAGTGTTCAAAGAGCGTGAAATAATAATATTTTTCTCCTCTCTTTCTTCTGAGGCCATTTATTGCACCTCAGACACAGCTACAGTAAGACCCCGCTTAACGCGGGAGATACGTTCCATCGAAGTAGAGCGTAATGCGAAACAGCGCTAAGCGAGGCTATCTTAACATGTAAATAATGGGGTTAGGGGAAGACGGATAAAAAATGGTTAGGCATTAAATTTAATAATGTTTTTTAATAAAAATAAAATCAAACATTTATTTCTTACAAAAATAAAAACAATATAAACGCATATACTTTTAAAAACAAATAAAATTCTCAGTCAGATCATTCAGTCTATTCTGGGTTTCCAATTTTCTGCCTTTTTGTCAAGAAGGCATTATGATAGATTGGCTTAATGGCATATTGCGTTTAATTTCGTCGTCAATCCATATAGACAGTCGTTTTTCCATTTCCTCTTTAATGTTATTTCTAGAACGGGTAATTCTAGTTGCAGAGCTTGACGTAGTTGCAGTTGCCGATGACAGTACAGTATTTTTTCTTTTATTCTTAAGAATTGTCCTTATTGTTGAAGTTGCCAAAATCAATGCAGCACTAATTTGAGATTGACGTTCACCAGAATCTAATCTTCTAATCACTTGCATTTGAGTTTCCAGTGAAATGCTTTTTCTTCGGTTGCTTTCTTTTCTTGTTTTTTATTATCACCCATTGATAAAAACTAAAGATCATAATATTTGTCACTGTATTAATCGTTATAGTATTATACAAATTTAAACTTACAATAATGTCAACAAATGTTTCAAATGATAAAAATGCGTCCACAAAGCAAGAAACACAACTACACTGTTTCGGATATGTTATTTGGAAACCTAGCGCTGCGCACAATTTCGGAGAATCCCCGGGTTGAAATAAAAGAGCGCTAAACCGAAACAGCGCTAAACGAAACAGCGTTAAGCGGGGTCTTACTGTATTTGCATATCAGATCCCACTGAGCATAGAGGGCAACATCGTTATCTGGCCTAACAAACTCCTCAAAACTAACACTAGGGCTCGCAACGCCTTTTGTAGAATATTCCACTCATCAGGTGAGTGGTATCGTTGTCAAAATCTAAGTGATCAACAGGATTAGTATCTTTGTCTTTTGTCTTGATGGCACAGATTTCCAAAATGCAGCAATAGCTTTATTGGATTAAGCATACTTTCTGCATTAAGTTGTCATTTCCGTCTCTTTTTCAGCAGCTCGAATTGCAGCTGTCACGATTTGTTTGCGATAAGACCTCTTCATTAGAGCAAGAATGTCTTGATCTAAAGGCTGAATCCAGCTTGCTGTATATGGGGGGAAAGTGAACTTTTGCATTGGTTAAGTTGAAAACTTTGAAATATAGTGTTAAATGAAAAAAATCTAACGACGCAATAGACTAAGAAAAACTTTTGTAATTCATGATAACTGAATTTACATTAAGTTCTAAAACTTCCTAACTTCCTATAAGATTATGTACATTGAAAAAAAAGGGGGGTCAGTTTTATATCTCCCGTTCTACTGGGCTAATTGACGAAATTCAACTTGCGTTTTTCATGTCTTGAAAGCGCGACTTAAGATACGTATTAGATTTATATTTAGCATCGTTCTAATATAGGTATTTTGAAACAAAAATCGGACTTTTTAACATACCAATTTTTTTCATATTTCAATTCTACGACTCAAATTACGCCAAACTACCAAGTTTTGTAAAAGTCGCACGAGTAGTTTTTAAAAAATTAGCTCCCAAAATTTTTACTCAATTGAGTTCGGTATATATTTATTAATCTCTCTTTTTTTTTTTATTAAACTTATTTGATTCCTACTTTCACATTTCGAAATTTAGGTTCATTCCAAATAAAATTCACCCATTTTTATGATTTATTTTTAAAATTTGTATTTCTATAAATTTTTCAAAAGAATTTTTGAATTATAATCTCTAAAGTTTTTACAATCATCTTAAAGTAGACGTATTTCTAAGCATATCTGCAAAAAATTACATTTTTTTTATTCAAAATTTTCGAAGATATACGGGAATTTATTTATTGCCCCAATTTGAAATTTGGAATATTTGTTGAAAGCGATAAAACAT